TTCATTGTACTTTACGAGCATTTTTAGCTCGACTGAGCTCGCGACTTCCGCGTTGTTTTGCCGCCATTTTGTTAGGTTTTGTTGTCATCCGCCATTTTGTGTGTGTGAGTTTGATTTTTCTTTTATTTTTTGCTGCACGTGCATCGCACAATAGTTTGAACCCAGAGCTGCCTCAATTGTTTGCCCATAAATAATGGGCAATGTCATAGCGAATGTGGCGACAGTTGGCACTCACAATTGGCCCCACATCTGAGCCAGGCTTTAAAGCATGCAAATATCACGTATACGCCGCCGGCGCCACACGTACTCACACACATTTGCAGATATGCCAAATGACACACCGGGGAGTTGTGCATTTCTGAACTGTGGTTCGCATTACGCTGCATTAAGCCAAAAAGGCTGACCGAAAGGCTGTTAGCCAACAACTTTCTAACCACATTTCGGACATGGGGCAAAGTTACACACATAAAAGTGTGTGCGTCGGCTGCTGCCTGCTGACAGCTGTTCGTGTTTTCTGCCAATGGAGAGCGTCGCATTAGCGCCATTTTCCACTCTGCGGTCATAATTCACTAAAATTAATTGTCGCATTCAAGTAATGTGCGCCTTGAACAGAAACCACATAAGTACATGACAATCAGCTGTCAACGACTGTTCAATACTCTGTTCACGTTTGCAATGCACCTAAAAAGAGCTCGAAAGGCAGCTTTCTAATTGTACTCATAGTTCAATCAATCTTAATATTTAGACGGAACATATTGGCAGCTCTACATCAGCAAGGAACGAATCATGTGGGCGGCCTACAATTTAGGCATGATCATCTAGACGGCAATAAGTTAAAGGAAAGATTGATTGACGAAAGGAGATTTCTACAGTGATATTTTTCGCCAATAGGGAAAATGTTTAAGTATTAACACGTTATGACAGCAACCTTTTAAAGTCTTCTGCGTCCATCAATACATTGAGTAAAGCGATACAGGGACATAAGCTATGGCAACAGATAAAAGCTATCAGATAAGACGTCGGTATTCAAAGCAACGATCAATACGACATAAGACATTGTAACTCAACATTTAGCATATTTATTATTTTTTATGAATTTTATATAAAAAAATATAAAATTTATTATTTACCATTTGATTACAGAGTCTATTAAAAAGATATGCTTATGATTTTCAAGAATCTTTAATATATGCAAATAAAATACATATATCCTCCACATTTGCACATTAAGTGAGTCTATAGAGCAACTTTTGTATCAAAATATTTATACTACAAAAAGTAAAGTAAATTAAAAATTTTTTTAACTGATAAATTTAAAAAATACTTTATAATTGTGCATTAACTCAAAATGAACCTGGATTTAATAAATACTTATATACAAAGAAATGTGAAATTCGCTGCCAATCATAAGGTATCAGAGTACATAAAGCAACCTTTTCAGACATTTTTATCCGTATTTCTCTTAGCCAATGCGGAAAAGTAATTTATTTCAAGGCAGCTGCTCTTTCCACTTTTATCTTTAAAAATATTTACAGAAAATTTTAATTTGATTCGGGCTTATCACTCACTCTCTCCTTCTCTGGCTGTCCCTCTATCTCTCTCTCTTTCCATGACTCTTAACAGTTGAAGCTGAAATGAGTGCCAACATGTCATCGAGTATTTCCAGTGAGCTGAACATGCTTTCCATATCTCAGGCTTGTTTGCCAAATGAGTTTGGCATAGGTTGGGCGCTTAGGCTCAATGCCAAATGCCTTTTGTTATTCTCAACTAACTTTAGCTTAGCACAAATCTTAAAACAATGCGCAACAAAGTTGGCACTTGGCACTTTGTTTCACTAATTACTTTGCCTACAGTTTATGATAGCTTTCACTTTGCAATTGTTTTGCATACTAAATTCAAATCACGGTCGGCTTTGTGCAAATTCAATTTACATTTACTAAATGACGTTTATCAAAGTGATGTAAATTTCTTAAGTTTATTTTAAAATTAATTATTCCAAAGCAAAAAAGGTAAAAACAAAAAGAAAAAATTTATGTGTTTCTGTTCATTTTCGTAACTTAACATAGTTAATTATTTAATGCCACAATGAACGAAATACTTTAAGTCAGACTAGCAAATAAACAAATATTGCCTTTGACCTGCTCGCTTCTAGCGCTTTGTGCTTCAAGATGAATCGAATTTTGAGGCAGCATGGGGAAAATCGAGACGCTCGCACGTTTCACACAAATAAATCAGAGGAAAAGCTTCTAAATTGTTGCCCATTGTTGCGTACTTTAGACTTACCTTATGCTATCCTGCTTACCAATACAAAGATATGTTCATTCACCTAACTTCGCACTCAAAAACTCTTGTGCTGTATCGAAATTCTGTGTTTGTGTGCGGGTGTATTAGAAATGGCAGGGTCTGCTAGGGGTCGATGCAATTGGCTGACATGCTGAAGTTCCATCGACTTTGACTTTCACTTTATTTTCCTTGCGTTCCTGCACTAAAATCCCCTGTCGGCAACATATATACGTTTCTTTACTTCTCGGCAGGGGGAAGCCCAGAAAAGGGTTGCAAGCTTCTGAAATCCGCTGACAGCGCATTTATTCCATCAACATTCGCAATGAATGAGCTGTCATTGAAATGCACCATTTTCAATATATTTCACACATGTTTCTGGAGAAGAAAGTAAAATTTCTTCATGATGTGCCACAGCTTCAAAACAAGTTTAAGTCGAAAGCAATCAAAGCATAGACGATGTCAATTGCAGTAAATAATTTTGATTTTCTTTAAGATTTTTTATTTTATAATAATATTTTTTGACGTTGAATCCCGCATGGAAAAGGAGAATTCAGTGTAAGCTTTTTTTAAATGTATATAAACTGAACCAAATTCTCTACATTTTAACTACCCAAAATGAAAATGGTTACATTGGAATATGCCAGCTTTTCCATATCATATGCCCTCACTCTCTATTCTCTCTCTATTATATAATATTTTTAAAATTAATCTTTTAAACGAGTAGTCTACATTTATATATAATTAAAAAATAAATATATTTTTATGAGTCATTAAAGATTGTACGTGATGGGTTTATTTCGAATAAGTCCGCTTATTTTATCTATAGATTTATTTGAAAAACTAATGAATGAGACACACCAAGTGCGTCTGCAATAACCTTTATGCAAACAAATCCCTAAATGACGTCATAAATAAAATGCATCTGTGTGGAAAATTAGGTAGTAGCAAATGACGCTGCACCGAAACGCACACAAAACTCTCAACTCTGCATATTTTTACATTTTACACACACATCTATACGCAAGCCTGCGTGCTTTATAAAGCGCATAAATCGTACACAGTGCTGTGCGCCAGACACAAACAAATCGTCTTTGGAATTTATTCTTTTTTTCACTTTATATATCTTGGAAATATCAGAGAATTATTGAGAAACTTGCTTCCTTTTCTATGAAAAAAAAGGTGTCAAGTGCGCGGGTGCTATGAACGTACATATACATATATATACATATGTGTGTATATACGAACCTATTCAAAACAAGCTTTGGGTGGTTTTATTGAAGCAACTGTATAGTATAGATTGAAGTGCGTTGTGTTGCTTTAAGTAACTCCCTAACAAGGGTTTTGTATGTCAGTACAAAAACAATGCAAGCAAAGGGAAGGCAGGTCAATTTTAAAGAGTTTGTATTGAAAGCAGTTCCAAGCCAATTTTCAAATTTTGTTTTAGCAAACAACATTTTTAAAATTCAAAACAAAATTTATGCTTAAATTTAAATTGCTTAACTTAAAATAAATTATAAAACCTTAAATCTTATTAATTGGTATTTTTTCATTTACGTTATTTTCAGTTTAACATCGTTCGAAAAATTCGTAGACCACCCCAATTTTACTGTAACAAATGTTTTAAATTTAAAGATTATTCTAAAATTCAAATCTCGAGTCACACTTCTTTTATTAGCTAAGCTCTTATACGTATAAGAGAGCAAACACCGGCTAACTTATCCGCTTTTGCGCTTTGTACTACCCTCTCATGAGCGAGAGAATGTGGGAGAGAGCGCAAAATAAGTTTCTAATATAAAGAGATTGATTCATGGCTGAATTTTATAAACAAAAACAAGGCATGCAACAGTTAGATGTGCATGGCATTAGGGTTATTCAATATGTTTGAGATATAGCTTATATTATATAGGTATATTAAAATAATTTTACATTTTAATTTTAACATAGACAAAATATTTATTACTAATGTACTTAGAATTTGATTTTAACACTTATGGATATGTCTTTATTAAATTAAATTACTGTGTCCTGTTGAAGTTTTTGTTTTAATCTTTAACGTTTCATTCCATCAACAAAACTCAGTATAAAAGCTCTAAAGTGAAGAAGATATGGTTTTGACGTTCGATAAGACGCTTTAAGCTGGTAATTGTTTTATGTAAGACAAAGCGCCACCTATGTTTCATTATTAGCTAGAACAGATAAAACTTGCAATGATTCACACATAGATTATGAGCGGTCAACTGCATTTATAAAAATAAATAGTTGACTAAATTAAACAATAATCCTTTAAATCTGTTATTTGTTAGTAAAGTCTATTAATTTGTGTATAATACAAATTTTTCGATATTTTTATACCTTAGTAAATGACAAGATCTAGTTATATGTATGGATATAGTCTGTAATTATTCTTATTATTATCTCTAATAGACATGACATTTTATTTTCATATACCTTAACTATATTACAATTGCCTTTGCATGCATCCTAACCCCTATTTAACGGAAGCCAATCAGAACGCCTAGAACTGTTGCCAATTCAAAATGGCCGCCTTAACTGCGCACGCTATAAGGGTTGGCAGAAATCCAATAAGTCCAACTAAGGCGAGCTGATTTCAAAGCAGTCAGCAGAGTCAGAATTTAATCCAATTCGGGCTTCCAAGCAGAACAGTAGAGACCAGAGGTCAATCCTCGATACAGAATAGGAAAATATTTTATATATACATGCAGCATCCAAGCGACCAGCCCACCTATATGCCAGAGGTGCCCTTTCAGCCACTGTGGGGCCAGGATGCACCACCGCCACCGCCCATAGTTCCCTATCAGGACCTTATAGCAGGATTTCCTTGCCCCGATTTGTGTAAGTTGCTGAATACTTTAATCCGTAATCTTTATAAAAATATATTAATTTCCTTCCACACAGCGCTCTGGCAACGATCTCAGGTGACCCCGCTCGTCAATCAACGTTCCAGTACCAATGGCCGCTCCCATGGCACCCCCACGTCTAGTTCGAAGAAAACGCGACGCCGTGTTGCTTCCATGACCCAGAGACGAGCTGCTAATATACGCGAACGCCGTCGTATGTTTAACTTAAACGAAGCCTTTGACAAGCTGCGACCGAAGGTACCCACCTTTGCCTATGAGAAACGGCTTTCACGCATAGAGACCCTGCGCCTGGCCATCACCTACATAGGTTTCATGTCGGAGCTGTTGAACGGGACGCCCTCCAACAGCCAGAAGAGTCGCTCGCACATGTACGGCGGCATGAATGGAAATCATCATTCGACTACTGTGCCACCAGGTCCTCCAATGCATCCCCATCATATGCATCCGACAGCCTATCAGCGTGATTTTGCCTCGGCTTACACTCACAGCTTGCCATAAGCACTCTTGCAGAGAGGGTTATTCCATTATTGTAGCGTGTTCTTAGTTGTCATGCCATGTGTATAGACTTAAATATATAAATGTGATAGCTGTATAAATTGTGTATGTGTTTGTGATTATATCCCTCTTTTTTTGGGGATAGAAGGGATAACTCTTCTATAGTTAGACTTTTTACAAGTGAAAATACTTTTTATAATGTATATAGGTGTCTTGAAGGTATATACTTTCGCTATGAGAAAGTTGTGCATTGCTATTCGTATTATCTGAATACTGATAAATAATTTATTTTGAGAAATCTACTATCTAAGAAATAGTTTGTACAATCTAATCAAAGATCGATTGAACTGTTGATTACCCGACAAGTGGATAGAAAAAGGTAGTATTCAATTGAGAGGCAAACGAGAATGTTCAGACCAACGTTTTTGACTCAAGTCTCGAGTGTTGCCGTCGATCTACCCGACTGGCTAAATGAGAAGGAATTGCAGCAAATCATAAAAAACGAATTCCAAACATTTCAACAAATAGAAAACATTCAGTGCAGATCTCAGCTGAATACGCAGCGTTTACAAATCCAAATAAAGTTAGCAGGTGAGCATACGCTAACTTCTCATTAATCAATAAGAATAACGATAACGTTACCAATAATACAATCGAATAGACAACTCCACTCGCACAGTGAACTATCAGATTAAGTCGAAGGAACTTGAGACCCTTAAGTTTCCCCGATACCAAAGTTTCCAGGTTGAGCTTCATATGCGCAAGGTCGTACTGCCAGCTATGGAGAACCTCTATAAGAATGTTCAGAAAAACATTACCTTCACGCTCAGCAGCTACCCGACTAAGAATGGTCTGTTATTAGAGGATCTTCAAGCCAAGGGCTATCGCCTGGCCAGTCAACCAAGGGGTCTAGACCAAGCAGCAATGGAAGTGGCGCTATCAAAGCTGGCAGCATATCATGCCGCTTCAACGTGTTATTTGCAAATAAATCCAAATCAATTAGATGAACTTTTACCCAGTAAAGAACCCGGTGAAGATATTCAACAACTAAAGGTCTGGCTACAACGAAAATTCCATGAGAGTTTGCGGGCTAATGGCTTGCAACATTATGAGGATAAGGTGGTAAGCGCAGCCAACATCTGCTGGAATAAATCGATTAGCTTCAAATGACTATTTACGTTCCCAGAAAGCCTATCAAAGAATCTTAGCGAGTCATGTCGAGACGCATGATCCGAGGAAGTCCTTTAATGTCATTTTGAATGGCACCTGTTGGGCAAATAATTTACTTGGCCACTTTGACGCGTTTGGACAGCTTAAGGACGTTGTTTTCAATGATTTTGCAGGTGCTAGGCTTGGACCTGCTGTGCACGATCTGCTACTACTACTGTTAACGGCACCTGCAGCAAAAACCGATCAATTTGATGGATTTCTAAGACATTATGTAGATGAACTAACGGTAAATTTGAAACTATTAAAGTTTAAGGGCAAGTTTCCTACCTTAACAGACATTCAACTGGACTTACTTAGCTCTGGGCACTGGGGTAAGCTATGAAAGTATTAAGAACTGAATTAAATCTTTAATAAAAATATTTTTTGAAATAGCTTTTCAGACTGTCACTGAAATTCTACCTATTGTGCTAGCTGATTTGGGCTGTGAAGATATTGATGAAATGTTCAAGTTAACACAATATTCGGTGGAAATTCAGAAGCTGTTGCCCTGGTTGGAAAACCGTGGTTACTTTGAGGTCGATTAGCAAATTAAATTGACGTTAAACTTGTACATATTATATAAAAAAATAAGCAACAACAACCACCTGGTAATCCCCCTAAAAGCCACACTTCAAACTGCAACCTACAACATTATTTTGAAGCCTGATTTGCGTGCGAACTGATGCAGCTGCTGCGGCACATGTTGATGCCACATTGAAGTCACATTAGATGGAAGACAGGGAAACCCAACAACAATTAGGCAACAACAACATAAACAAAGCGTAAAATTATTATTAATAAATTATGTGATAGGGCTGCTACACAATGACAATTGTTGTAACAACCCTCGTGTGGCTAAAACAAGTGTAACACTTACAGGGCGCTGATGCGCACAGTCTTAATACCCTGTAATGCTTATACTCGTTTGGCAGACAGTTTTCCATTATATAAACAATATAAAAAGTAAAATTGTATTTAAGTTTAACAATAATATTATTTATATTGTTATTCATATTATTATTGAATTTGGATGTTTTTATTTCATCTTTGAACTTTATTCAGAGAAATTGACATAATGTATTTTATAGACGCATTTAAGAATTAATAATACGCTTCATAGAGATATTTATACGGAGTATTTTCTAGTCGAATATAGTTTTATTATTTAGATATATTATGCAGCCTAAATACCATGGAATTTTTGCGTTCAACGCCCATTTCGAACAGATTAGCGCCCCTTTTTTGAGTTTTTCTGTATTGCCTGAGCAAATTAATTTTGAGCGCATAAATAAAGAGGGGAAACAATCTGTTACAGCTAACTAGACCCACCTGAGGGTTGTTTGACTGCATCTGTATCACTCTCGTTGCGACCCTCTTTGATCTTGTTTTGGTAGCATCGGTAGCTGGCAATATGTTTTGATGAATTCGTGGCACTTCATGCCGCATTAGCACGGTCAGCTGCCACCCCACTCTCTACCCCAACCATTGACGACTGACTTCGTCTTTATGAAGTGTGCTCACGTGTCTGTGATTAGTGACTTATGTCAGAGTCATATCTATATGTAGTATTTAGAGTAAGTTGCTCAAATCCCAAACACTTCGCCACCTGCTGAGTGTGAGAAGATCTAGCTATACAAATTTTACTTTAGATTGCAATCTTTAGATTCCAATAACAAGAGATATGGAGACGAGATTCTTGCCACGCGTGGCTCAATAAATATTACCCACAGTAAATCAGCGTGGAGAATTAACAAGTCTATGAACAATTTCTAACTGAGATTTGCGTAATCTGCTCACATCCTACCCTCGGTTCTATTGTGCGCATGTCAAATCGATGTGACAAATTAATTGAATTTTGTTACCATTTTCAACGAAATTCGCGACAAAATTTCGACATTTTCTGACAATATTAGAGAAAAATTCAATATATATTTGAAGGCATGATAGATGAACCCAACAGATGTTGAGCAATCATGCCATTAGGATTTGTTGACATAAAACCTACCTAGATCATAATGACGACAATGTGGCTTAAAGCAAGTAAGAGTGTTCTGGTTGGTAGCGCCCGACTAAGATATAAGATATATGTATGCATACATATATTAAAAAGCATACATATTCCAAATCTGAAACATCAAAACTGATTTTTCCATCACAGAAAAATTATATCTATGTTCATCTATTATGTAGTATTCCATTATATCTTAGAAAACAAAATAAAATTATAGAATTTTATACAACGAAATGGGATGAGTTATCGAAAAAAATGATATGCCCGTACTGCGTATGGGCAAATTCCGTTAAACTTTAAATGTAATGCAATATATTCAAAATGTTTACTCGCTTTCAGTGACCACAGATTTTATTTATGATCACTGACCAACACATAAAAAAAAAGTATGGAACCTCCTCTACGTCACCTACCCGAAATAGTCGATTCTCATATAAATTTCCGTTATGCACAATTGCTTTTGCTTACTCTCCGCTCTTTGCTCTCTCAAATAAGTGTATTTATGTATGTGTGTATGCACAAGCACAAAGCAGAGCTCGAAAATAGAAATTTGCTCACCAAGCGGTAGCAATTTAGTCTTCTGAGATAAGAGTACAGAATAATCGACTCAGCTTGTCGTCCTGGTCAATATTAAACACATGTTGAAAATGATCTAAATCACTTTAAAGATAGCCCAACTCTACCATTTAAATCGAATTATATAAATCGAAAATGTAATTTCAATTAACTATATTATATTGTTTTCCAGACTCGTACACTCTCATAGTCAATCATCCCGAGACATTCTCAATGATATTTATTCAGAGAAGTATGAGAGCTAACCATAACATCGCCCTTTGGGCGGGAATCCATTTGGGGCATAATCGTGTCTTAATATTCCCAAATAGCTCTTCGAAGTGAAAAGAAACTATTTTTATTAGTATCATTATGGTTCTTCTTCTTATACATAGATGATACTAACATCCTGCCGTGTGACATATATCGGCAAAGATCCTCTGCTTTACTGAAGACATACTTGCATTCTTCCGGAAGCCGGGATGCCGGTGGTGCATCTACATCAATGCACAAAAGTCCGCGTCCAAATTCGTAACTAGAATCCCAAATTCCGAATACAACAAAAGTTAATTACCTTGGTGTCCCTCTTGATGGAAAGCTGACTTTAAAAGCACATATAAGTCATTTGACCACAATCTGCAAAGGGAAACTAAAATAAATGAGCTAAATAAAAAATAAATTGTACCTTTTTTAAATTTTTATTTTCATTTTTTTTAAGTAAATTTTATTTAGTTGCAGCGTATTGTCTTAGACTCTATAGCGCATTTAGCTCTAAACCTTATCTAATGGGGATGGCAGATATGCCAATTATTCTGCACTTATTGCTACTATCTTAACTAGTTCTAATATTATCTAGAGGATGCAATCTCTTAAGTCTTCGCCTATTGTTGTTTATAGCCAGGTTGCTTGCGAGATGGTTAGGATGCGCTGCCCAATGAGTTCGGCAACTGTGGGAATTGCTAAATCCCTATGTAAGACTGAGTTTCTCACAAACCAGCTGGCTCCAGTCCATCTGCTTTATTCAGCAGGATCTGAATTTTGTTCCTTGAAGTCTTCGCCGAGGAGCCCCATAGAGAGATACCATATACGAAGGTTGGGACAACTATTGCCTTGTAGATGGCGGCCTTGCTGCTGTAAGACAACTTGCTTGAAGCTCTCAGCATCCAGTCGAGGATTTTTAGCTTGCTTTTGCATTTTGAGGTTACTTGACTTATTTGCGCTTTAAAAGCCTTCTGTCAAAAGTGATACCAAGGTATTTTACTTTTGAGGCTTTCGGAATAGTGGGCCCCAATGCAACGCTTGGGCAATCTCCTCTTCTAGGGGCGAAGGTAGTATGTACGGACTTTTGTGCATTAATAGTGATACACCACCGTTTTGCCCAGCCTCCGAAAGAGTCCAGATATTTTTGTAGTGAGTCTGAGGCTTCTTGCGCAGATACGTGACGTGAGAAGATGGCGGTGTCATCTGCATAAGTCGCTATGAGTACTGCATCGGTACTTCCTATGAATAAAGTATAAAGTGTTGGGCCTAGAACACTACCCTGTGGTACTCCAGCCATAATTGGTCTAGTTAGCACTAAAAGTAACAGAACTGCATTTTGCATAACCTACCAAGTAATTTAACAATGGTGACGATAAACACACCACGCGCAGTCGGCGAAAAGCCACCACTCGCAGTAGAACGATGCGCACGAGCCAAACGCTTAACGGCGAGCAATCTACACCCACTTGGCTGCAGCTCTTTGACCTGAAAGGACGTGCTCGGAACTTGGGAAGTATGACTTAGTAGCTTTTCAAAATATTCGATTCCAAAAAAGACATTTTAAACAATGGATAACTCTAGCTTTGGTATTATCTGCAAGATTTTTAACTCAACTATATTATACTCTATTTGACTCGTAAGAAGCTATTTGTATTGCCACTTTGGCCATCAATGTAGTGTTATGGTAGTAATAAGTATGATGACTCCCAAAAATGGATCATGGATTTATGGAGTTTAACAGAGTATTTTGTATCCGATTCTCGGAAGGTTTAGAAGTGCCGGAATAACCATGCGCCATAGCAGCTGAGTCGACTTAGCCATGTGCGTCTACCCCTCCACATGAGTTTGCATAGCACATGCAGTATGAGCTTCAAATAACTCATACCGTTTCCTTGTTATCGAAAAAATCGATGATTTCACTTCGTTTTCCAGCGTAGCTGGCTTTTATATATTTTGGATTGGATACCTCCCCCGCTTTACCATAAAATTTGCGAAAGACTTATTTTAATAACAATTATGTAACTATCAAGTTTTCATAATGATGCTCCTTTTTTATTTTATTTTCATTTTAATATATTTTGTAATGTTCTTTAAATGGAATTAGAGAATTTATTTGACTGTCGTTAATTATAGCTCTTAACATCACGTACCCATGGTAAAGTCAACTACTAACTGGACAAACTGCTGGGGCTGATCCACATGAACTTTGTGATTTGCATTCAAGTACTCAACATGCAATTTGGGAAAATATTTCTTCATTATCTCGACATTCTGTGGTGTTACGAAATTTGTCTTCTGTCCCGCAATCAACAGGGTGTCGCCTTGGTATGGTTGTAGTCCCTTTATTGTTTGCTTGTAATTGACCATTAAATCCTCCCAGTCATTGTAAATCGCCTGGGCATTTACGGCCCAGAAGAAAGTGCCATTATCGGCAATGCTCAAGTTCTTAATAACCATCATGAGTTGAGCTTCGTTTTTAATAAACTTTCTGATCTGAGGAAGTATGAATTTACGACCCTGTACCAGAGATAGATTTTTAGGTATTGTCGGCAACACTTTCACCATAAACTCAAACATCCTGCTTGCATTGACCACTTCCGGGGGCAGCGGTCCTGGAGTTATGTCCACAACGATGACACGTTCCACGAGATAGGGCCTGGTCAACGCCAGCGTCATCATCGCCCGCCCGCCCATGTCATGACCCAAGGCAACAATGCGTTTTAACTTTTTCTCCTCGATCAAGGCCTCCACATCAGCAGCCATGTCGGCGGGCTTATGATTCGCACAATGCGGACTCTCGCCATGATTACGAGCATCCGCGACTATTAACCAGCGTGAACCTTGCTTCATTATATGCCGAGCCGGACGGCGCCAAATGGATTGTGAGTGAGCCAATCCATGTAACACCAATATAGGCGGGGAATCAAGCTGACTGTGCGGCATTTGATAAATCGTTGAATTCATTTTTATGGCTTTACACTTCATGTGCACCATTACCAAAGGCAGACGAAATATGGAAACGGATAATTTCCAACTCCTACTGTCTGAAACAATAGAAAAACAGTAAATATACTGATAAAAGAAACCTCATAATGCCATTAACAAAGCCGTGCCTTGAAAAGCAGAGATTATTTTGTAGAAACTTACAATTATTTCTCAAAATCATAATTTAATTAGTCTCGATTTAAATGGGAAATAATTCATTTAGTTCATTCGTCCATATATAAAATAGTTTTGAAATGCAACACACCCCTTCATTAAATAGATTTATTAATTTAATAAAACATGAGTCACACTTAGTACGTCTTCTCAAATCTTTAGCCTAACAAATTTACAACTGACGCATATGAAAATATACATGAAATCTTTTGGAAATATCAGAGAATCACTGGGAAATAAGCCTGCTTTTCTCTGAACAAGACGATGGCGATAAAAAAATATAGTTCAAATGTAAATTCTAATTGGAATTTGAACTTCTATAACTCAAAATATTCATTACTGAATTACTTAGAATTATATTTTATATTAATACCTATGCGTATGCCTGCTTTATAAAGAAATGATTGTGAAATGAATTTTAAGTATTTCAAAAAATTTAAAGCCTAGCATCCCGATTATATATTTCATTCATTCATTTACTTTTTAATCGTTTACTAGTCAACCATACCTTCTATTAAAAGTCTTATAGTCATGGATAAATGGTTGTCACGTTCGGTAAGACGGGAATTGACCTAGTGAAGCCGTAGCGCCATCTATGTATCATGAATTATTAAAGTGAAAACAAAATCCAGCCAAAGATGATGCTATGCATTAGAAGTCAAACTCAAATTGACTAAATAATCTTTAAATACTCTTATCCATTTAAAGCTCGCTTTAACTATTTGTGTAAAGTCCTCAATAATACATGAAAACATGAGCTATAATACTGACATTTATATATCATATTCAAAATTTAAAAGCTTTTCTAAATTAAAATATACAGCTATATTTTTTAACGATTATCTCTAATACTCTTCAATATTTAAATATGATGAATTATACTTATTAAAATAGTACACATACCTTGACCATGTTACAATTGCTTTTGCATGCATCCAATCAAGCCAATCAGAACGCCTTGAGCTGTTGCCAATTCAAAATGGCCGCCTTAACTTAATGCTACCCGCTGTAAGGGTGGGTAGAAATCCAATAAGTCCAACTAAGACGAGTTGATTTCAGAACAGTCAGCGCAATCAGAATTTAATCCAATTCGGGCTTCCAAGCAGAACAGTAGAGACCAAAGGTCAATAGTCGATACAGAATCGGACGCACTACTCTATATACAATATATATACATGCAGCATCCGAGCGACCAGCCCACCTATATGCCAGAGGTGCCGTTTCAGCCACTGTGGGCCCAGGAGGCCCCACCGCCACCACCCATAGTTCCCTATCAGGACCTCATAGCAGGTTTTCCTTGCTCCGATCTGTGTAAGTTGCTGAAGACTTCATTCTGTAAAAAGCTTTATAAATATATTGATTTCCTCACACAGCACTTTGGCAAAGGTCTCAAGTCACCCCGCTCGTCAATCAACGTCCGAGCACCAATGGCCGCTCCCACGGCTCCTCCTCCTCCAGTTCGAAGAAAACGCGACGCCGTGTTGCTTCCATGGCCCAGAGACGAGCTGCAAATATACGCGAACGCCGTCGCATGTTCAACCTGAACGAAGCTTTTGACAAGTTGCGACGGAAGGTGCCTACCTTTGCCTATGAGAAACGGCTATCTCGCATCGAGACCCTGCGCCTGGCCATCACATACATTGGCTTTATGGCAGAGCTGTTGAGCGGCACGCCCTCCAATGGCCACAAGACCCGCTCGGACATGTACGGCGGCATGAATGGACATCATCATGCAGCTACTGTGCCACCAGGACCTCCAATGCACCCCCATCATATGCATCCGGCACCCTATCAGCGTGACTTTGCCTCGCCTTACAATCACAGCTTGACATAGGATTAAATCTAAAAACTACTACATTATTTTTCCGTGTTCTTTGTTGCCATGCCCTGTGTTTAGACTTAAGATGAAATATATAAATGTGATAGATGTGTAAATTGTGGATTGTGTTTGCGAATAAGTCCCTCATCTATAGTGATAAAAGCTTTGATACTAGTGAAAAAACTAATTTAACATTGAAGAAAAAAAAGATTTATAGATGTCATAAAGGTATGTTCTCTTTATAAGTTGCACATGTTTAAAGCCACGAAAAAATATAAAAATTTGTATAATGCTTTTTGTATTATCTGATAAACGCTGATGATGATGATGTGTTATTTTATGGAATCTTCTGCAGAAATAGTAAAGATCAGATAAATTTCAAAGACAATTTAACAAATGATCGAGCGAGATGTGATTAGAAAATAAAACAAAATTCACTTTTGAGAAAAAGCATAGCTTACTTTACAAATCGCACTGTGCACTATCAACTTTAGTGGAAGGATCTTCACACTTAAGGTGAAAGCCTTTAGCAGAAATCTTAACGTTCGCGACCAATTAACTGAGCCTGTGTTAAGAAGAGTCCTAGGATATACAATAACTAAGGAGAAATGAGAACAACGTGGTTAGTGCAGACAACATCTGCTGGAATAAAACGATTAGATATAATTGACTGACATCGTTCACAGAAATTTTAGCCAGCCATGTCGAGATACCTGATCCGAAGTAATCTTGTCATTTGAATATCGCTTATTGATCAAGCAATTTTCTTGGCCTATTTGACCCGCTTAGCCAGCTTATGGATGCTGTTTTCAATAATTTTGGTGGTGCTTGATTTGGACCTGCGGATTTAGCTTTATATTTGACTTTACTTATCCTTAGACTACTTGTCGAAATTACCTTAAATAAACAATAATATCAAAAACCATCAGACAATTCCCCTAAGAACCACACTTTAAACTGCAACCTACATTATTTGCGTGAGAACTGATGCAGCTGCTGCGGCACATGTTGATGCCACATTGAAGTCACATTAGATGGAAGACAGGGAAACCCAACAACAATTAGGCAACAACAACATAAACAAAGCGTAAAATTATTATTAATAAATTAATGTGATAGGGCTGCTACACAATGACAATTGTTGTAACAACCCTCGTGTGGCTAAAACAAGTGTAACACTTACAGGGCGCGGATGCGCACAGTCATAATACCCTGTAATGCTTATACTCGTTTGGCAGACAGTTTTCCATTACATAACAATATAAAAGAAAGATTCATAAGTAAAATTGTATTTAAGCTTAACAATAATATTATTTATATTGTTATTCATATTATTATTGAATTTGGATGTTTTTATTTCATCTTTGAACTTTATTCAGAGAAATTGACATAATGTATTTTATAGACGCATTTAAGAATTAATAATACGCTTCATAGAGATATTTATACGGAGTATTTTCTAGTCGAATATAGTTTTATTATTTAGATATATTATGCAGCCTAAATACCATGGAATTTTTGCGTTCAACGCCCATTGTGAACAGATTAGCGCCCCTTTTTTGACTTTTTCTGTATTGCCTGAGCAAATTAATTTTGAGCGCATAAATAAAGAGGGGAAACAATCTGTTACAGCTAACTAGACCCACCTGAGGGTTGTTTGACTGCATCTGTATCACTCTCGTTGCGACCCTCTTTGATCTTGTTTTGGTAGCATCGGTAGCTGGCAATATGTTTTGATGAATTCGTGGCACTTCATGCCGCATTAGCATGGTCAGCTGCCACCCCACTCTCTACCCCAACCATTGATGACTGACTTCGTCTTTATGAAGTGTGCTCACGTGTCTGTGATTAGTGACTTATGTCTGAGTCGTATCTATATGTAGTATTTAGAGTAAGTTGCTCAAATCCCAAGCACTTGACCACCTGCTGAGTGTGAAGCTCTAGCTAAACAAATTTTACTTTAGATTGCAATCTTTAGATTCCAATAACAAGGGATATGGAGACGAGATTCTTGCCACGCGTTGCTCAATAAATATTACCCACAGTAAATCAGCGTGAAGAATTAACAAGTCTATGAACAATTTCTAACTGAGATTTGCGTAATCTGCTCACAGCCTACCCTCGGTTCTATTGTGCGCATGTCAAATCGATGTGACAAATTAATTGAATTTTGTTACCATTTTCAACGAAATTCGCGACAAAATTTCGACATTTTCTGACCATATTAGAGAAAAGTTCAATATATATTTGAAGGTATGATAGATGAAGCCAACAGATGCTAAGAAATCATGCGATAAAGATTAATATATTATACGTTACTAGTAGAATGAAAATGATTTGACTTTGGATTTATTCAGTTAAATTATATAGTAAAATGCGTTTTATTAAGATCAAAGAGATACTTAGATAAAAATCAATAATGTGGTTCAAAAAATAACTTTGAGTATCTGGTTAATGGCTTTGTGAAAATGTATGTAACAGGCAGAAGGTAGAGTGGCAGACCCCATAAAGTACCTATTTACACAGGATCGATCTAGTCATGTCCGTCCGTCTCGTAAACAACAAAAGCTAAAAACTTGGATGTATACTTATATAGGCAATATGCAGTACGATATTATATAATATATATCGATTAAAATCGATAGTTTTGATTCGTTTTTAAGCATACGTTGAATAAGGCAAATGCTGAAGACTTCAGATTAACTTTGTAGGTTCCTAAATTAAATACAAAGTTTCTGTAAATTTTCGATTTTATATTCTAACACCAAATTCGTATGTATGTATTACAGAACCGTGTAATGATTGGAATATCCGCTGGATTCAGGGTATTTCCAAGTCTCTCTGTTTTTTGGTTTAGTGTGAAAAGCTTAAAAGCTTAAAGCAAAAGCTTAAGTAATCAGTAAATTAGGCAACATCAATTATGTCGACAATTATTAGTAAACATCATAAACAAGCTTATTTTAAGCTTTTGACATTTTGGGAGAGTCTAAAGCTTTATCATATTTCTCATTTTGGCGTAATATGAAAAAGCTTTAAGCTAATTATCTTGAAAGCACTTCTTTGTTGATAAACAAACGGCCCGGCAAATACAATGTATATAGTATCAATTATAAGCACTCGCAGTATAAGCCAAACTCTTTTATAGGAATCATCATGGCAAAGGCAAGTGAAGACGAGTTGATAGACCTGCCCAGTTGGTTGGATGAACATATGTTTATAGAATTCCTGCAACGCGACTTTAAAGACTTCAAAGCCATTAAAGAATTTGAGGTGGAGCAGACAAGTGGCAAGGGCGAAAACTTTACATGTTTGGTGGTGCGCGTCAAGATTACCGTGGAGCTGAATGGTAAATACAAATTTAATATAAATTTGACTGCAAACTAACTCTATGTAAATGCTACAGATGGAAGCCAAGCAGCTACGTCGTATATAGTCAAATTATTGCCCACAACATCGAGCACACGTGATATGATTGCCAGTTGGAAGATCTTTGATAAGGAAAAGCTAACCTACAGCAGTTATATACCTGAATTTGAGCAAATGTTTAGGGACCACAACAAAGAGTTGGTATTTGGTCCCAAATACTATCAGCCAACAAACCCAGCGAGCGCCGAGCTGGTCATCTTGGAAGACCTGGGAAATCGGAGTTTTAAGAATGTGAATCGCCAGAAAGGTTTCGACATGGCGCATACTAAAGCAGCTCTCGATAAATTGGCCCTATTTCATGCAGCATCTGCAGTTCGCTTTGAGTTGAAAGGCGCCTATCCGGAAATATATGACCGAAATCTTTGCAGTGAGGAGGATAAATTCCAAGAGTTCCGTGATACGCAAGCCAAGTCCTTGATCAAGGCACTGCCTTACTATGAGGCGACTTATTTGGAGAGCGAATTGGTGAGTAGGCTTCAGCTGCATACCCTGTATATAAAGAGCGATTATCATCTAATTAAATTATAGAAAACCTATACTTCCATCGCCCCGGATATGTTCCAGGCCCATGCGCCCAAGTTTGAGGACGAGTTCCGTTGCCTCAATCATGGCGACTTTTATTGCAACAACATTATGTTCCAGTATGATCAACAGGGAGGAATAAAGGAAACGTACTTTATCGATCTGCAAATGAGTCGATATGGCTCTCCTGCACAGGATTTGATCTACATGTTGCTCTCCTCGGTTTCATTTGAGCTCAAGTTCACGAAATTTGATTACTTTGTCTTTTACTACCACAGCAAACTAGTTGAGTACCTGAAACTTTTGCATTATACCCAGCCACTGCCCACGTTGAGGGGACTACATGTGGCAATAATAAATCATGGCGACTGGGGTGAGTAACTGTATTTGAATTTTTTATTTAAACTTATCTTATTTTATCTCAAACACTTTAGTTTACCCGGTTGTGTCGCTTCTGCTGCCTCTCGTGCTCATCGATCCCAGCGAAAAGACTAACATGGACACAATGATGGATCAGGAGGGCGAAGGTGACCAACTGAGAACGACCATGTTTGGGCACCCAAGTGTTGTCCAGCAATACAAGCAATTGCTGCCATGGGCACACGACCGCGGTCTCTTTGTGTACAAGCAATAGTGATAGCTATTTCTAATACCAATAAAATAATGTACAAATGTAGCACACATATAAAAATAGCTTTTCATTATATTACAGTCTTAATCCAAAATGTAGAGCACCTCTGCCTCAATCGCCGTCATACTTGAAGCGCTTAATCTCAAACAGGTGTGAAAAATGATATGATTCTGGTATTTCAATTTCTTAGACAAAGGTTAAGTTATCAAAACACAGTCATTATGAGTGCACAAAGAGTATGCCAAATCAATAGAAAGGTTTGGCTCTTGTCAGCTGTTGCTGCCACATGCCAGCTCCCAAATACGCAGTTTGTTGCCTTGCAAATTGAGTGTTTACTTATCAGGTTTACCTGATAAGGTGGCATAACGCCTGGCGTTGAAAAAACAACGATTTCTTTTCGCGATAATAATTGCCACAAGCCAAGTCAATTTTTGCATGAACTGAAATAGAACGGAGCACGAACTAGCCATAAAATAATTTATTTACTACCTACTATTTTATAATTTGTTATCAACTAAGATCAAAGGTAAACAGCATTTGGTGAACAAGAACAAGACTTGTCGAATGAATTTAAGGACTGCGAGATATAGATAGGAGAGCAGGAGCTGTTAAGTTTCACAGATCATAGTTCTCCGAAAAAATGAAGATTTTTAATTTTAGAAATATAGCGAAAGCCTATCGCCGTTTTTACTTTGATTTCAAGGCAGAAAAGAATTATTGATTCTATGTTATCTATTTCATCTAATATTGTTTAAGTGTATGAGTTAAGCGCTCTAAGAATAGCTGATAAAAGCTTATAATTTAAAGTATTATTTACGCAATTTCCCATGAGGTAGCTTTTTTGAAAACTTTTCGATTATAAATGTGTAAGATTCGTTTCATCAGCTATTTCATCATCTGTCCAACCAATTGTTATACATTTCGCATAATTGACAAATTATATTAGATATAGATAAGATTAAGAACATTTCAGTATATCAAATTAAAAGCTTTTGATGTCTTATTTTAGCCAAAACCTATGAGAACTTTTTTCGCATAAATTAAATTACTTTTTGAAAGATCAAACAGTGTATTAGCATTGGTAAAGATATGAGGTTGATCAAAGCGCTCTATATGTCGAATTCGGTGTCTGCGACGACTCGCTATAAGAGACTTCCTGAGGATACTTTGGATAAAGTAGCCCCATTAAGCGCTAAGGATAAGAGCAACATGCACAATGCAAAGCCGATGAACTACAAGGAATTGGAGAAGAAAAGATTAAAGATGGAAATACTTACTATTTATAAATAAGCAGGAAACCGGTTAAAGATTTTAAGAATCGAATAATATTAGTGTATTCTTAAGATCTAGAAAACAAGATTATTATAACTGTCATTTTAGGAAATTGTAAATAGTAGGCTCAAAAATTCAAAATCAAAAATTAACAACAGATATTTCAGTAATAAAGTGGATATTTATAAAAGTTACAGTACCATGAGAGAAATTCCGGTCTAGAATATGAACTAAAGTCATGTTAATTATATTAAAATGGCTGTGAATTGGCAACGCTAAGCAGAGGAGATGGTAGTAAGTATTTATAAGATAACTAGCCGATTGAAAAATATTGAATCAGCGGAACAAAAGGCAAATAGACTATCCTTCGTTAGTTATATTCACTCGTCAATAAGAACTATTTGTACCAATAAAAAAATTAATTTATTCCGATTTGTAAAAAATGAAATAAATGAAATCCGCTGATATTTTGTTCAAAGTTGTATTTAGATTCGTGTATTATAGTCGTTCGAGTAAACATACTTAAAGTAAAAAGGTAATTACCAAGTCCGGTTTTCAACCGAACCGGTTAAAACTCTGGGCTTTAATTCAATCATTAAAAATAATTTGTGTGTACCAACTCAACTGATCTTAATCGGTGTTCCCTTGTGTGTTCTTTTACAGCTGTAAGAGTATCGGTATTTAGTTTAATGTAGAATCATGGGTCAGAGCAGTTCGAAGAACAAACAAAATAATCAACAAAAAGAGCTGACTAGCATACTGAAATCCACAACTGTGGAACCAATGCAAAATGTGAACGAAGACATCCTTCCCCAGTTAACCTCTCCAGCACATGTTGACACGAGCTTAGTACCCGACTGGATACATAAGAAACAATTTTTAGAAGTTCTTAGTGACAATGTGCCAAATTTCTCCAAAATCCAAAATTTTTATATAACGCCAGCCACAAGTGAGGGAGACAACTTTTCCTCCTTAATATTGCGAATTGCCATCGACGTGAAGCTAACAGGTTGGTCCCATTCTTCACTTTGATTATTATTATTATACATTTTGTTTATAAGACAAATCCATGAAGTCCCTGGCTTTCATGATGAAAGTACCCCACGAATCAGCCAAAATGCAACAGATGCTAAAGACTGTGAATTTCTTTACCGTTGAGAACGCTGCCTATACGGAACTCATCTCCAAGTTTGAAGAGCTCTATAGCTCAATAGGCATGAACATCAAGTTCGCTCCACGTACCTACAAGTTCACGGAGAGCGTAAGAAAGGAGCCCAAGCTAATCAATACGGTGCTCATGTACGATCTGAGCCAGGATGGCTATAGGAACGTGAATCGCCTGGAATGCCTCAATGTAGAGCAGACCAAATTGGTCTTACGAAAGCTGGCCCAGTACCATTCAGCAAGCGCGCAATGTAGGGCCATCTATGGACCTTATCCGGAACTATTCACGCAGGCCATGTTTGGATCGAACAAGGAGAGAGCTATATCCATATTAGAGGGCATAATGGGTCCATTTAAGAAAATGTTTTTAGAGAATCTTTACTTCTTTAAAAATGGCGATAAATACTACGAAAAGTTTGTAAGTAGAGGAGAACTTCAATTCAGTTAAATACTATATCATATATTGCTTTAGTCAACACTTTTCTCAAAAATGAGCAACAAATTTTTGAGTCTTAGCACATTTGATGACAGTGAATTTAATGTCATCAATCATGGTGATTGTTGGATAAACAATTTACTCTTCAAATTCGACTCAGATGGCGATCTGATTGACGTGAAATTTGTGGACTTTCAGTTACCAAAATATGGGCATCCATCGACAGACTTGCTCAACTTTATCATGTCCTCGGTGCACATAGATCACAAGCTGAAGCACTTTGATTACTTCATTAAGTATTACCATGATCAGTTGATCGAGCACCTGCACTTACTGGGCTATAAGGATCGTATGCCCACGTTAAGCGAACTCCATATGCAGCTCTATAAATACGGCATGTGGGCGATAACAGCCTCCGTGATGGTGCTACCAATTGTTCTGTTGGATCACAATGAGGAATCGATGGAGTACAAGAGTCAATTGTACACGAATGCGCGCTATAAAGAAAATATAGAACAAATAATGCCCTGGCTGGATAATCGCGGTCTATTAGATTTGTAGATTTATATTAGTAGCAATTGCATTGAATTCTATAAGTCAGGCTTTAGATAAATTACTTTATGATAGAGAAATATTACAGATTATAGAAGTTATAGTTTCGACCCTTCTCAATAATTCAAGCGCTTCAAATAAAATACTTATTTATTTTTTATCAACTAATCGACCTTTATGATTTCCTATTTCTAATTGATTCCAATATACATTTCGTATTATATATTGCCAATAATATTTGGATTAATAATAATAATTACCATCAAGAATGTGGAAGTCGCACGCTAGCGACCCACGCTCATTCATTCACGGTCAGCAAATAGGAGCTCTAGCTCTAAAACTTAAGAATAACGCATAAAAATTTTTTGATATATCTTAATAATAGGTCAATACTCATTCGTTGCATGTTGAGTTTCTAAATGTAAAACTGTAGAAGTTACAGTAAGTCCCTATCTGCAACGTCGCAGTGGTTGTGGGCATATAATGTTGGTCAATCATTAGGATCGAAAAGCTACACAAATACAAACCCGAAACAAAATCAATATACCGCATTCAACTGGGAATTGAGTGGAAATTATTTAAAATATTTATTTCATTTGTGAATCGTTCGGTCATAGACCTTTCAGACACACACTAAAGTGAGCTACAGTGTAATCTATTACTTAATCATTTTCTCACACACGTTACTCTTACTCTTATATATACAATCAGTAGTAAAATTGATTGTATTCAGATTAGATGGTCGAACAAATTATGACGCCAACTTCTACGCTTCTAAGCATTTTAGATTGTCATTGTGATTTTACCAAATTATCGTTCTCGTTGTGTGCGATTGTTATTAATGAAAAACGTAAGGCGTGAACCTAGAATGATGTACTTTATAAACAATTCCTTATAAGATACATATACTATATATATATATATGTATGTATATATTAAATAGTATATATAAAGTACATAGAATTCCTTATTTACCATATTTGATAATGGTAAGTATAGTGTCTATATTATACAAATAGATATGTATAGACTTTATACATTTTATTATGGTATATAAAGCGATATAGATGTAGTTATCTAGAGAGTTTACTACAGTTGCAAATGAAATATATAATCACAAATACTCGTATCAATTAATATTTGACAATAGATTTGATAATCATAAGTTATTCGAACGATGACAAAGCCAATTTTTATTTTAACGGTGGGGTATAAATATCAACGCAAATTTAATAACAAATGCTCAGTTTAAAGTTGTTTGCCTAACCGTAAGGACGCTCGAAATACGCAAAACTAGTTTTTTTAAACGTAAATGGGTGTTCATTTAAGCAAGTCAAAGAAAAGGTATGAAATGGATACTGCCACAAACAAAACAAACTCCATTCGCGACCCTGTGAAGGAGTCTACAAAAGATGAAAACTTTAGAACGGTCGAGGCACCGCCAAGTGAGCCTCCAGTGACTGCCAATTTGACGCCCATCCCCGAGTGGATTAATGAATCGCAGTTCGAAGAAATACTCACTCAAGCTGTGCCCCAGTTTGCCAAAATTCTGAGCTTTAGTGCAAAGCCCGCATTGGGACCTGGCGAGAACTACGTGACCCTCATACTGAGAGTGAAAATTGATGTAGAGCTTTTAGGTGAGTAAAACGTAGAACTGAGAGATTCATTATTCACGTGCTCTAAATATATCTATGAATGAAAAGTCTAAAGACTATAATAAAACAAGGTTCAATCACGCAAATACATTATTAGAAAACGTTACAGACGCAATTTAATAATTATTTAATAATTATGCGCCGAAATTATATAATTTGAGATTTGCTTTTTTATAAACAACTGAAGCATGAGGTAGAGATCAATGTAATATGCAAAGTAATATAATGTAGTAGATTATATTACTTTTAATAAATTATATATAATAATATATATAAAAGAAAAAGTCGATTAGATTCTTTACCCAACTATAGGGCAGTTGGCTTTATAGGAATGCAATATAATTACTATATATATTTTATTGTGTTTATTAACATTTTTCCAATAGACAAAACCAGCAAAACCATTTCATTTATGATGAAACTGCCCCATGATTCTGCTGAAATGCAACAAATGTTGCAAATGGCAAACTTCTTCGATATTGAGAATGAGGTCTACATAGACCTGATACCAAAATTCGAGCAGCTGTACAAGTCCAAGGGCTTAGATGTAACTTTTGGACCCCGCGCCTACAGATTCAATGAAAGCCTTAAGACGGAGCCCAAGCTCAAAAATACGGTTCTCATGTACGATCTGGGTCAGGATGGTTATAGAAACGTCAATCGCCTGGAATGCTTCAACTTAGAACAGACCGAGATGGTCCTCCGAAAGCTGGCCCAATATCACGCAGCAAGCGTTGTCTATAAAAGGTTACATGGACCTTACAAAGATCGCATTATGTATGGTATGTTTGGTACAGATCCTCAGAAGGTTGAGGCTTTAATGGAGAGTATGTTGGGGTCGGGTCAGAACGTTTTCCTAGATAGTCTGAAAAACTATGAAAACTGCGAGCAATATCACGATAAGTTGGTATGTAGCACAAAAATATTATATAAATATGTATATTTCTCAACCATTTTGAATTTAAATTTTAGAAAACATATTTATCCAAAATCAGCGGTATTATTTTGTCTCATGCCGTGGCTAAGACTGATGAATTTAATGTCATTAATCATGGAGATTGCTGGGTCAACAATATTCTTTTTAAGTTTGATCCGTCAGGAAAGCTGGAGGATATGCTTTTTGTGGATTTCCAGAATACCAGATACGTTCATCCCTCTTCGGATTTGCTGCATTTTATTTTTACCTCAGTGCATATAGATTACAAGCTAAAGCACTTTGACTATTTCATAAAATACTATCACGATCAGCTGATCGAGCATCTCAATCTGCTAGACTATAAGGAGCCTGTGCCCAAGTTGATGGATATGCAAATGGATATGTATAAATATAGCTCCTGGGCAATCTTGGCGTGTTATTTGGCGCTGCCTGTGGTGCTCCTCGATCCCACGGAAGACGCCACATTTGAAAACTTTGTTGGAGAGGGTGAATCTGGAGAAGACTTCAAGAAAAAAATGTACACGAACAAACGATACAAGCGCTACATTGAAAAGATTCTGCCCTGGCTGGATAATCGTGGCTTATTGGAAGTCTAGTAAGTGCCTCTATAAAATCATAGTCCATAGCTGAGAATACTATATTCATCCATCTTTAGCGAACCCCCGCAAGCAGTACCAACAGCAGCTGTACCATCAATTGAACCAAATGGGAAAGACGAGGTTGACTCTAATGTGCCTTCTTGGGTTAACAAAACTTATTTCGACGAGCTGCTCAAAGCAGAGCAGGCCGACTTCAAGGAAACGGTCAATTTCGAAGTTAAGAAAGCCACCCAAGCTGGGGACAACTACTCCTCCATAATGCTCTCTGTGGACATTGATTACCGAACAGTTAATGGTCAAACATTAAGTAAATCTCTTATGCTGAAAGTTCCGCCAGGCACAAATGCAATGGCATACCTTCTTGACCTAATGCTAACCTTCAAGAAGGAGATGGCCATGTATAACGAAGTCATTCCACAGATGGAGCAGCTTTACGAGCAGGCTGGACAATCCGTTGTGTTCGGTCCAAAGAGCTATAAGCTGCCGAGTGCACCCGACTCTGATCACATTCTCTTGGAGAATCTTCGTCCTGCGGGTTACAAGAATGCAAATCGCCTGCAGGGACTGAGTGTAAAGGAAACGGAGAAGGTCCTGGCCAAATTGGCTCTTTTACATGCCGCATCCGCACAGCTGTATGTGACCAAGGGTCGCTTTGCCGATTGCCTGGATAAATCGATCTACAATGACAGCACGCGTCCCATATTTGAGAGTAAAGATGCCAAAACTTTCACAGACATAAATATTGAATCAATGAGAAACTTCAAAGGTAGCGAGATCTATGGAGACAAGGTGGTAAGTTAAAAGATAAATGCAAAACGGAAATCCATTTTCTAAAGAAGTTAAAAGATTTTGTTACTCCATTCAAATATTGATATTCTTTTTTCATCCGCAGGCTAAAGTAATTGAGAATATGTTTGATTATGAACGCAAGGCAGCAATCTATGATGAAAGCCAATTCAACTGCCTCAACCATGGCGACTGCTGGACAAATAATGTAATGTTTACATACGATGCACAGGGCGAGATTACAGACACACTCTTTGTGGACTTCCAGAGGTCAAACTTCAACACTCCCGCCATGGACTTGTATTATTTTCTACTGTCCTCGCCTAGTTTTGATATAAAACTAGAGAAATTTGATTATTTTATACGCTACTATCATACCGAACTGCAGCGCAATCTGGAACTGTTAAAGTACCCCCGACACATACCAACGCTCAGAGAGCTCCACACCACTCTGATGAAGAATAACTTGTGGGCCGTAACTACGCCTGGGACTGTAATGTCGGCAGTGCTGCTCGATCCCACAGCCAACGCGAGTATTGATACCATGATTAGCAGCGATGACGAATCCAGGGAATTTAAGAAAAAACTCTTTGGCAATGACAGATACCGCAAACACGCTGAGGCGATTTATCTTTGGCTAAATCACAGAGGACTTTTAGATGTTGAGTAAGAGTTTGCTGCTCTATTTGTAAATATTTCTGTTACAGCTTGGTTTAAGTCAGAGTTTTTTAATAAAATCTTGAGCTATTGAGATAATGACATAATATTAAATAAAAAAACTTGTTTTTAATGAGACTCGCTTAAGCAGAAATGCCCAGTCTAAATATAGATTTGGAACCATATTATGGAAAGGCAATGTGATTTCGGGATATTTGATATTTGTAGTTAATAATATTAGCGCGCTTGTACAGGCGAACAAGATTAAATAGACTGAGCTGTTAATTCTGATATATTTATATCTGTTACTTTTGGCTGCCGAGATGTTTCGAGCAGCTTTAAGCAAATTTCGAGAGAGATCAATGATCCTTGCCATTTCAATTGTACCCGGCTCCCATCTTTAATAAGGAGCCCCGACTCTAACCTGCTTGATCAATTGTCAGCTTACCAATTTTCTATTTTTTGCTCATAAATAAATAAAATTAATTAAATTTATTACAGCAGAACACTTGTTTAATAAACCGTCCAATATTTTTCCACATTAAAAAATATATTTTACATAAGGGTAACACAATAAAATAAATTATATATATAAATAAAACAGCTTAAAATAATAATTATTTTAACAAAAAAACTTGAAAGTTTAAAAGTTTCAGTTGCATAGTTTCGTCTTTTCGCAACTTGTGTGACGTTACTTAATTACAATTAAAAATACTCGTAACTATCGATAGTGAAAAATTACTCGATAGTGACGCAAAAAGTACTAGTTCGATACCTCGATCAAGATCTGGCAACCTATCGAAGACATTAGATAGGCTGCCAGAACTATATCTTAACCCAACGGCGAGAATAATAATGATTCGTTAATTTTTAATCCGTGTGAATATTTATAACATTTATTTTATATTATATGAATATTAATTGTATAAAACTAGTTTGCAGAATATATGCAACATATGAGGCATAAGTCATTATTATAAAGGCCCCAATCTAATCATTAAAGTTAATTTCAACATTTGGCTGTTATATTGAATAATATCACAATTTGTTATCTATTTTTTTACACCTCGTATAATGCATTTGATTGCCGTTGGTTAGTCGTGTTACGTATTCAATAAAACTGTTGTTTTTTTGTTCGAACTCAAACAGCCAACAAGAGCTGATAAAATAGTTTGAATATCAGCGACTATCAGTAAAACTTAGGTATAAACATCGTCGTGTATTTAAAGGCGAAACTCAGTTGAAAATTATTTGTCTAACCGTACAGACGGATATAAAACGCGCAGCTTTTCTCTTGTACATCTGACATGGGCCATAATAATAGCAAGTCAAAGGCGCGGTCTAGTGTTGCCCCAGTGGATAATACTAAACCAAAGATCAACGCCGTGACAGTACCAGATGCACCTCCAGCGGTCGTCAATACGACGCCCGTACCCAATTGGATTAATGAATCGCAATTTGTGGAAATACTCACTCAAAATGTGCCCCAGTTTTCAGAGATTCGCAGCTTTAGTGCGAAAGCTGCGATGGGAGCTGGTGAGAACTATGCGACCCTCATGCTGAGAGTAAAAATTGAGGCAGAGCTAATAGGTGAGTGAAACACAAATATATAAATAGAAAATAAGGGGTAATTGTAACATTCTGAAAGAGGCGTGGCCAAGTTCACATAGTATGTATATTTTAGATCAGTGCGATAGGCTGAGTTGATCTAGCTATGTCTGTCCGCATGTCCGTCCGTATGAAGAGCTAGACTTGAATAGCTAGAGACTTCAAATTTTCAATGTATATTCACAATTTTATGTCGATAACTGATCTCATTTCGTTATTATCGACAATAATCGATTTCGTCTGTTACTTCTCGCTTGTATACCACAAATCGATTGAATATACAAGTTTTAGATATTTCAGGTTGTGAGTACCTTTCCCCTTAGGCAAATTTTGGAGAAATGTCCAATAGTAGAGACTAATGCTTTGGCAAATAGCCACAATATTATCATAATCATTCAATATTTTAATATTAAATTAAAATACCATATTCAATATTAAAATACCACAATAAACTCCATACTTCAACCGCAGCAAGCAAATCGCATGGTTTTGAGTGCTTATGCTTACAAAAGAAGCGTAGAATAGAATCTCCTTGTAAGTCCCGATCTATCTACTGGTTTGGCAATCCCGACAAAACATAGTCTTGAAGCTGGTTTTTGTATGTCTTTTCTCTTAGTAAAACACTGATTTAGTTTCGACCTTTAAAGAGTATTATGCAGTCGGCTGCACCTTACTAATTTTTTTCTTACTTTGTTATCAAACTGCATTTTCAAATGTAGAGATAATAGAAAAATTTAGAGATAATAGTATATATATATTGCGATTATGAGTATATTTAGTTGTTTAATCAATTCGAAAATAGTAATCTAGAAAATATAAGGAATGGATTGATAGCAGAAATATATTTTACTACACACCATAATTATGTTCTCTAAATTATTAAGGTTTCGATTATTTTTTTAAATAATTTTAATTTCCCTTTTACTTTCCAACTAGACAAGACGATAAAGCCCATTTCGTTTATGATGAAAGTGCCCCACGACTCTGCTCAAATGCAGGAAATGTTGCAAATGGCCAATTTCTTCGATGTTGAGAATGAGGTCTACATAGATCTGATACCGAAATTCGAGCAGCTCTACAAGTCGAAGGGTTTAAATCTAACCCTTGCACCCCGCGCCTACAAATTCAATGACAGCCTCAAGAAGGAGCCCAAACTCAAAAATACGGTTCTCATGTACGATCTGGGTCAGGATGGTTATAAGAACGCCAATCGCGTGAAAGGCCTCAACGTTGCAGAAGCCGAGATGGTCCTCCGTAAGCTGGCTCAATACCACGCCGCAAGCGCTGTCTATAAAAGTGTGCACGGACCTTATACAGAAAGTATTATGTATGGCATGTTTGGAGCAGATGTTGAAAAGGCGATGGTCGCTTTGAACACTATGTTCGCGTCCACGCAGAAAGTTTTCTTGGACAATGTGAAGAACTATAACAACGGCTATAAATATCATTCGAAACTGGTATGACAACCAAACAAAATATCTTGTTAATAACTTGTGTCAGTCAGTTTATTCTTCTTTTCAGGAAACGTATTTTGCCAAAATGAGTGAGAATTTCATAGCTTTGGGAATGGCAAAACCTCATGAATTTAATGTCATTAATCATGGAGATTGCTGGGTCAACAATTTTCTTTTCAAGTCTGATGCGTCAGGAAATCTGCAGGATATGCTTTTTGTAGATTTCCAGAATCCCCGATATGCTCATCCTTGCACAGATCTTCTATACTTTATCATGACCTCAGTGGACATAAATTACAAACTTACCTACTTTGACTATTTCATAAAATACTATCACGATCAGCTGGTTACACATCTAAAGATGCTTGACTATAAGGAGCGTGTGCCCACGTTGGTGGATCTGCAAATGGAGACGTACAAATATGGGTGCTGGTCAGTCATGGCTTGTTATATGGTGCTGCCCGTGGTGCTCCTTGATCCCACGGAATCGGCTACATTTGAGAACTTCCTTGGAGACAACGAATCGGCAGTGGACTTCAAAACTAAAATGTACACGAACCAACGATACCAGCATCACATTGAACTGATTCTGCAATGGCTGGATAATCGGGGCTTATTGGATTTCTAGTAAGTGAAGCAATATAATCTGAGACTTAAACGAATTAGTTTTTTTTTAGCGAACCAGTGCAAGTCCCTGCTGTGCCATCGATTGCTCCAGCTGACCACACAAAATCCAATGAAGACTTAGATTTGGATTGGTTAAGCTGTCAAGATTTTGCAGAGCTAATTGGTGCTCAAGAGCCCCAATTCGAAAAGATTGTAGGAGGTACATCGGCTCCAGCCACCAAGCCTGGCGACAATTATAGTGGCACGTTGCTCAAAGTAAATATCAAAGTACAGCTTAAAGGTGAGTATCACATAAAGTAAACATTTACAAAGATTAAACCCAACCACGATTTAGACGAAAGTGCAAAGAACTACGATTTCATACTGAAAGTACAGAAAGATATTGAGATCGATCCTAAGGAGTTGGAAGTATATGGGAAGTACGTGCCAGCCTTTGAGCAACTCTATAAGGAAGCGGGACAATCGATCCGCTTCAGCCCCAGGAGCTACAGATTCAGCAAGTCAATTGAGCATAACTATTTACTAATGGAAAATCTGCAGACAATGGGCTTTGAAATGGCGGATCGCAGACAAGGCCTGGACTTGGAGCATACCAAGGCTGTGCTGAGGAAGCTGGCTCAATGGCATGCTGCCTCACTTAAATATAAAGAATTGAATGGACCTTATCCATCCAAATACAACGATGGCAAGATTTGTGAAGATTCAAGACGACTTTTCAAAACCATCTACGAATCCATTGAAAAGACTTTACTTAGAGTAAAACAAAATTTCAAAGGTGTCGAGGAATATTCACACAAATTGGTGAGTGAGAAATACATATAATAAATATATATTAATTATATTAAATATGTTTTAAATAAAATAAAATATATTTTAATAGGAAGCATACTGCAAAACCCATCTGGACAGCTGCATCGAGGATGCTAAAGTAAATGAATTGGAGTTCAATGTGCTAAATCATGGAGATATGTGGATCAACAATGTTATGTTCCAGCATGATCAGGGTAAAGTGAAAGACGTCTATCTGCTAGATCACCAAGTGACCAAATATGGCAATCCAGCACAAGATCTTTACTTTTTCTTGATGAGTTCGCCAGAGTTGGAGTTGAAAGTCGAACAATTCGACTATCTAATCAGATACTATCATGATAATTTAATTGAAAATGTTCAATTACTAAAATATACGGGTTTCGTTCCTAGCTTGAGTGAACTGCACATCATTTTATTTAAACATCCCATATATGGTAAGTATTTTAACATGTTATAGATTTTATTGGTAAAAATCTTGCATTACAGCTGCTGGCACTGTGATTGGTCCCTTATCTCTATGTCTGACGGAACCCAATGAGGAACTAGGTATTGATCTATTAATGAAAGATAGCCCAACAAGAGATGCTGTTTATGATCAACTATATAACAACGCCGTCTACAAAAAACACTTTGAACTCATGATGCCGTGGCTAAACAGACGTGGTCTATTGGACGTACAAGTTTAAATAACATGAAATTTTATTGCCTTTGGCTTCGAACAAGCATATATATATTCTAAGTTTACTAAGTTTACTTAAAACATAAAAAATATTAGAAACAAACAACATATCACTTCACAGCTAATTTAATGGCCACATAAATGCCAGTTAGAAAGACTACAGCAATGGCCAATTTCTTTAGATTTGCACGATTCACGCCTTTGACTGTGCGCAGCAACTGAATATTCATGCGAAATACATTGCGGCTCTCTTCAATATACTCAGCGCGCTCTTCCTCATTCAGTTTACCGTAGACTTCATTAAAAATGCGGCGAAGCTTGACTTTCAACGTAGCGATTCGTATGGGAAAATATGTCGCCTCACAACCCACTTGTGAAATGGTTACCTGCACGGGCATTGGGCGTGCACGTAGATCGCTGTCTGCAATGCCATCGTCTGCAGCGGTGGCCGCTGCTTTGGCTGTTGCCTCGGCAGCATCCTCTTCGGCTTGCTTTTGCTGCTGCTCCTGCTCGGCGCTGTCTGTTGGAAAGATCCATAGTTTGCGCGCGATCATGCGTTTCTTTTGCAAGAGCTGCCCACCAGACATTAGGGCCATGTACATTTGAAAAGCAAAGGCAAAGAGCAACACCTCGCTTTTGGCTGCCACCTGCTCCAGGTGCGCTAAATACTCTTTGACAGCTGGACGCGGCTCATAGGAATTCTTCCAATCGGTACCATAGAAATAAGCAAAGTCGCGTTCAAATGCAGAGGCTCGATGCAACTCTTTGGGTATCAGACGTTCCGGCAAGTTTGTCTCAAAAAATTTATATAACTCGTAGAAAACCAAAAGACCATCGTACCAGACCTCATCATCCGAAAGTGCTGTGCAAATTTGATTGAATAATGTGAATTTCTAAAATTTTAGCACACCCTTACCAATTGCAAATTTAGCATTGACCAGAACATCCGTTAACTTGTGCACATCCTTTGTCGCTAGTCTCACTTCCTTGGTAAACGTCATGTCCACATAATCCTCATCCTTGTTGTCAGTGCTTTCCGTCTTTTCGCCTGTATCTTTGACATCTGGAATGAGTGTAGCTGTCTCTGCTGACATTTTGTTTGTGTGCTATGAGTTCGTTTGAAACTAAATTGAATGTAATATATTTTTGTATTAAATAATGCGCAAATTCAACGTCTTTGTCCAAATCAAGACAATGAACTTCTTTTCGATTTTGCAACTAGCGATATAAATTACTTGCATTTGTTATCGATTACTAACAAGTGGCAGCGTTATGTCAAAAAATGAAGTTATATTCTTTAAAAAGTATGAACGTATACGGGCTTAGTTTACAAACAACAAAACTGGGTCACAAATATGATATGGCTAAAAATACGACTGTACAGTCAAGGAATCAAGACAATTAGAATAGGGCGCCAATTTTTATAATTTTCCAGGTCAAAGAGGGCACACAAAACATGCATTTACCGATTACTTATCGAACTATCGATGTATGGCAGCACAGTTATTCGACAAAACTTACTAACACTTATACTCATTTAACAATACTTCGTTGTTTAGCAACACTCTCACAAGCCTGGTGAACTTGTTTTGTTGCTTTTGCTAAATTCACAGTTTAATTGTTACAATTATAAAAACAAATAACTAAAAGTCGTATTGTAAGTGTTTTATTGTAAACGTATTTATATGCTATGTAGGCGCAAGAATATAAATGTATTTTTATTGAAACTAAATGTGATCTATTTGGCATTATACTATTTCTTACAATTTTATTTTTCAATTTCAATGTACCTTAAGCAGTCTCTCATTCAAATCACGCACTGATACACGCTAATTACAGTACACAACAATCAACAACAACGATACACAACTGCAACGCTTTGGTTTCATCTCTTTCTAAATTCTAAATCCCATTGCCTAAGTAGAGTATTTAAGAAAGAGCAAACATTTTTGTCTATTAAAAAACAAACTATCGAAAACGCAATGTCGGATCTTTTTACCACTTTCGATAGCAACAGCGGGCAACACGATACACCAATGGCATCGCCCTCTCAGCACAGCCCCATGACAAACAACAACAGTAATTCTTCATCCACACAGAACGGTGGAGCAACAGCGGCTCAAGCAGCCGCTGCTGCTGGTGTTGGTGGTGGTGGTGGTAGCGGTGGTAGTGCCGGTAGTGCAGGGGCTAGTGGTAATAAGAGCACAAGCCACAATGTTGCAACGGGCGCAGAAAATACTCCTGTAAGCACACACATAACGTAAATACAAATCATATACATATAAATCCCTATCTTCTCAATTATAGATGTTAACCAAACCGCGCCTCACAGAACTGGTGCGCGAAGTGGACACCACCACACAGCTGGATGAGGATGTGGAGGAATTATTACTGCAGATTATCGATGACTTTGTCGAGGACACTGTTAAATCGACGAGCGCCTTTGCCAAGCATCGCAAATCAAATAAGATCGAGGTACGCGATGTGCAGCTGCATTTTGAGCGGAAATATAATATGTGGATACCGGGCTTTGGTACAGATGAGCTGCGTCCGTATAAACGTGCTGCGGTCACCGAGGCGCACAAACAGCGTCTGGCCTTAATTAGGAAAACCATAAAGAAATACTAGAGGGCAATGGATGTAGTTTGCATGGTATTTCATTTGTTGATAGGTAGTTTGTTTTTTTTTTTTAAATTTTAGTTTTCATAAAATAACACTCCACTTTATTTATATAAGCAGCAAAGTTATATCACGGCTAAACAATAGTTTACAATTTATATCAATTTTTAAATATACAAGAAAACAAGATATAAGCGCGCCAAAAAAGCTTTTTATTTATAATATTCTAAATTCAAATAAGTAATGCTGAAGCAGTGACAAGCAGAACATATTCAGGCAACCTGATAAGGACAAAGAAACGTTGTAAACATTTAGTAACATTATTTACTTTCCGTTCTTTCTATTTGAACGGCACTTAATATCTAAATGTATGTTAGTTTAAGAATGACATACAAAAATCCCTCATCTCTTGCTGCTATCGATATGATAAACGATATCACGTGACTCGTCGATAGGCAATCGTTTTTTCGTGCCAGCTTGTGTCATCACAGTTGCACTGCACTGTATTTAGTAAATTAACAGGACATGCAAATTTTTTTGTTGTGTTATGTTTTGTTTTGTAAATGTATTAAAAGTTAATAAAGCTGAAACATAATGAAGCTACCTGTCATGTGTCGCACTTGTGATGCAAGGGACACGGATAAACTATACAAGCTGGCTACATCTACCAAACGATTTCCGGATAAACAGCTCTCCGACATTTTAACCGAACTAACGCACATAGAAGTAAGTTTTGGCTTATTTATATTTTATTATATAAAATTTGTTTTCTGCAGTTAGATGAAACCTTTGCGCAACAGCTGCCACAGTGCCTGTGCGGTAATTGTGCCAGAAAGCTAATTGGCGCATATTATTATGTTAAGCAAGCACTGACAGCAAATGAGCTGCTCATGAATCATGTGGACCGCCTGGGGAGTAGTAAAACTGCAGTCAACGACTGTCTGCAAGAGGCGCCAATGGAGTTGTGTGCCGAGCAACATGTGGAGGTAAGTCACTTCGAAGTCTAAACTAAAACTGCATAACTCGATTATTTATATATATCAGATTAAAATGGAAACAGAAGAGGAGGAGGCTGAGAATGATATAACCTGCACGGAACTGCCGGAGTTTACAACAGTACAAAATGCCACTGATGTGGAGTTAGAGCTGGATAACAAAAAGTCCAATGACCCCCTTAACATGCTCGAGCCAGTGAAACAGGAGGTGGAGTCAGCCGCTGCTCGGACTCCAATAATTCGAGAGCCGGAAGAATATAAAGCTGATATTGAAGATGAAGAGTATGCAACAAAATGCAGGATAATTTAAAATATATACTTATATTAATATATTCTCTAATATTTACAGATCCCTCGATGATTTGCCATTGCAACTGCGCGCACACAAGTGGAAGCAAACGGGCATGCTGCGCGCAGTAAAGCGTTCAATTTATAAATGCACCGAATGCCCCAAGAACTTCAAGCGACCGGAATATCTCAAGCAGCATGCGACACGGGCGCATAAATCGAAGACCGATTGGTTTTCCTGCTCCTACTGCATACGCAAATTCAGTCATCGGGAGGCTCTGCAGTCGCATCTGAAAGTGCATCGGGATTCCAAACGGTCAGCGAACTTGGGCGAGAGCAAAAAAGCCAAGGATATAGACCTGAACATGTGCAAGCCGCATGGCTATAAGCTCATCGAATGTATGATTTGTCAGAGTCAATACGATAAAATAGCGGATCTTCGACGTCATCTGGAACAGCATCCGGATATTGTTGGATTTGGTGCACGCTCCAATATGCAGCCACATGAGCTGGCGGAGCTCTTTTACCCGGATGCCAAGCACATCAGCGTGGAGCAGCTAAAGGCCCTCATACGCAAAGATCTGGATGCTGGTATTTATCAACGTTTCTATTCCATTACCAATCAGTCGGGATATGAAATGGATCTGGATAGCTCGGAGACGGAAAGCGAGGCCGAACGAGATGTTGATGAGCAGCAGCTGAAGCGCAACATACCCAAAGCCAAGTACAGTTGTGACCTGTGCCACGAGCGCTACCAACGTAAATACCAACTCTTTGATCATCAGCGTCTGGCGCATGCCTGGCTGGATGCGCCGCATGTCTGTGGACGCTGCGATGCGCGTTTTGTTAGCCTCCAGCTGCTGCGGCAACACAATGAGCTGCAATGCAAGAATGCCCAAAAACGATTCCTCTGCCACAGATGTCCACTACGCTTCCGTTGGCGCCACAATCTAAAGGCGCATATACGAGAACATCGCAGTATAGTAAGAGAATTGAGCATTAAACTGTCTTACAGGTGTAACAGACATTTATATTTATAGTTTATTTACATTAATTAACAAGATTTCTGATTGATTAACAAAAGAGCTCTACTACAACTATGTACTGCTACCAGAAAAATGTCTGCTATGTCTGCAAGGCTTCCATTTTCTATATATATATACATAAATGAAAGGAATACTGATTTCTTTCCAGAATCAAACCTATGAGTGTGCCGATTGTAAACGCGTATTCGACAAAAAGAAATCTCTCACCGTGCACATGCTCAGCGTGCATGCAGAAGAATCAAAACTCATACCGTGCCAATGGTGTACCCGCAAGTTCTACCGACGTGACTATTTGGTGAAGCATCTGAAGCGTCATGGTATACGGGAACAGGATATACCGCTCGCCGAGACGCTAATTGCGGCCACCGCGAAACCAAATGGCGTCAAACGCATCACCTGCAAGATTTGTAATCTTCACTTTGAACGCATCAGCGACCTGCGAGCGCACATTCAGCTGGAGCTGAAGCTAGCCTTATCGCTGCACCAGAACTACGATTCATTACACAACTACTCAATTACAAATGAATCTGGGTACGAACTTCAGCTAGGCGACTCTGAAACGGAGGATGAACTGCAAATGCAGCAACCACGAGGCTCGCCCAGCACGCGACTCGTCTACGTTTGCGAACTATGCAAAGTCCAGTGCAAGCGCAAGTACGAGATGATCCAGCATCAGCGGGCGATGCATCGGTTCGACAAAATGCCACACGAGTGCGAGCTCTGCATATTCAAGTGCGTCTGCAAGGTGAGAGATAGTTTTAACCTTCTGTAAAAATGAGATTTTAAGCTGTGCCTATCCCCACTTCACAGAGCATCATGGATCAACACAGGCAGTCGCAATGCCACAGCGTCGAGAAGAAGCTGGCGTGCAGCAAATGCAGCTACAAATTCATGTGGGCAGAGAATTTGCAACAGCATATGTTGCTGCAGCACGGCAGCATCGATCTACAGTCTGCTCCTGCATCTGCTGTGAGCGATGCAGCCAGCGCAGATCGTTTGTCAGCTGTGTCGATTAATCCCGCTATTACGACCGAGGATGTGCAGCTGCTGCAGTGTCCTCACTGCGATCGCACTTATCAGATGAAGGCACGTCTCAACAATCACATACGCGATGTGCACATCAATGGGGATCGCAAGCGTAAAGAGGCCATCAAGAAATTCCTCTGTTCGCTCTGCGGACGGGAAACCCAATCGGCGGCTACATTGGTCACCCATATGCGTCGGCATACGGGCGAGAAGCCGTTCAAATGTGATCTGTGCGAAATGGCCTTTCCGAGGCATTCGGAAATGATGTCTCACCGGCGAATGCACACGGGCGAGAAACCCTTCCATTGTACGGTCTGCGGAAAGGATTTTGCCCGTTCCGACAAACTGAAGCGGCATATGTTGACGCACAGCGGATTGAAGCCACACAAGTGCACCTACTGCGATAAAAGCTATCGCCAGGCGAAGGATCTGAAGCTTCATCTGCAGCAACATACGGGCGAGTGTCCTTTCATATGCGGCACCTGTGGCGAGCGTTTCATACAGGGAACCGCCTTGGAAAAGCACCGCATGATGCGACGTCACTTTGACGAGGTGGAGGAGCGCATCACCACCAACAACAGCCACACAGCAACTGCTTAGTTTATATTTATAAGTATTTTATTTAAATATATATTTTGTTTTTATTAAAAAATTGTTCTTTATTTGCAAATATTACGTTTTAAAGTTCATCCCCCGAGTTCTTCGCTTCGATCTTCATCATTTCCACATCGAATATGAGTACCGAGTTGGGTGGTATTTTGCCACCACCTGCACCACTGGCGCCATAGCCCAGCTCAGGTGGTATGGTCAGGGTGCGCCGTTCGCCCTCGCACATGCCTAGAAGACCCTGATCCCATCCCTTGATCACCTGGCGAGCACCCAAAGTAAACGAGAAGGGCTTGCCACGATTGTAGCTGCTATCAAACTCGGTGCCGTCTTGTAGAGTACCCTGAAAAACCGAATGCAACATGTTCATAAATATATCGATCATATGAAAAGTCTGCTAATCTTTCAAACGGAAACCCTAATTTTAGTGAGTTTTGAATGATAACATAATAGTTTGAATCATTTACTTTTAGGATCTAACTCAACTCATCCCTTGAGTAGTGTTCGAACTACTTTTCCATGTATCGTAATTGTATGATAAGTAATATATAAGTAGCGTATAGCTGGAAAAGTGAAATCTTTTTGGGCTAAATACATTACTATTTTCTGATTTGTGAACATGAGTAAAAAACATAAATAACTGAAAATGACGTGTCCCGCAAATCCTATGCACCGTTACCTTGTAATGTACATGTATTAAGTCGCCGCCTTTAGCTTTTCGCGTGCAGTTTTCCACGCGCTTCTTAACGCCTATTTTCACTTTCGGCGTTTCACTAGCAACGGCGGCGCCAAAAAGAGCGCAAATTAACAATAAAGTTTGTAGCTTCATTTTGACGTGACTAAGTTTTATAAAAGCAAAACACTCCGGCTATCACTTATCGATAACTATCGATATCTACCACTCTGCGTGATTTTGCCATTAGCAACGCTTGAACCCGCCAAAACTTGAAATAAGAAATTTTCATGTACGCCGAATATATGCCAAATTTTTATTAAACATTAAACATTAAAGCTCTTTCAAAATACAAAGTTGAGCCGAATATAATTTAAGTTCTTACAATGGTTTAATTTAAAATAACAAATATTACGCATGATTAAAAAAAAATAAACAAAGCCTTAATTATAAATATGCAACAGATTATACAAGAGATTTACAAATATACGAATATATCACAATAATAAAGGAATACATACATAATCAAATGAAATTTTCGCCAGCACATGCAGGTGTATATATATCATAGATAATACCTAGGTACATAATATACTAATACGTAAAGTTACTATTTAAATATACACAAACATACGTATATATATATATACATATATATATATATATAGTTGTAAATATTTATAAGATATATGAACTATGACTATAATATGCATACAGCATTAATATATATAAGGACTTGTTCAAATGGTCTCAACTGTCTGTATGGAACAGTCACTCAGTTATCATTTGACAGATTTGTGATTTTGGTCGCATACATGTTGGCCACCTTATAGATAAATTCGTATTGCTCCTTGGTCTGCACAGCACTGGCTCGACCCCGACGTACATAGTACACCAATTGGGGAATATCGACCGAACGCTTTGGTGTCTCCAAACTCCGTATAGCCATGTCACAGGCTATGATCGTGCCGGTACGGCCCGTACCTGGGGAGCAGTGAACGGTTAGAGGTCTAAAACAGAATGAAAAACACACAAAGAATGAAAAACAGATGCAATTAACAATTAACAACAAATTACGGCATTCAACGTCACACAAACAAACAATAGTCATATTATTGACAAATGGTTTTGGTATACATTAAGGCCTTTCTATTCTATCTTTACTCACCCCTGCTGACTGCGTGACGTCCTGTTGGCCACATTGCCATTAATCTCATTGCTTGATGTGCTGGATGCTTCCTCCTGGGCAGCTGTTGCCTTTGCCTCCTCTGCCTTCGCCTGTTGCCCCTCTAGTGATTTAAGTGTCAGCGTGGACGACTTCTCATGCTTCAGCTCATTGGCGTGCTCCAATGCATAAGACTTGAGGGAAGAGCGTGCCTCCAGAAGCATCGCAATTAGTGGCGCTTCATCCAGGGGTACACCAGCCTCGGGCCATTTGTACCAGTAGTGGGTCAGCTCACGGCATTCGGCGCCATCGACACGTTTCAGCATTAGAGTTGAGATCGCGTACTTATCCTTTACTTCGCGATGCTTCAATGTCACCTGGTAGTCACCATAGCTGCTGTGATTATCTAGGGTAACCGATGGCGGCAAGTACTCGGCACAACGCTCTATGCCATTCTCGGTGAGATCAGTCGCCTGAACGATGACACGGGATTGCTGCTCCCAGATCATGCGCCAAAAGTCGCCCGTGGTACTCTCCAGTGGCGCTTGGCAGGCAATGTAATAGTTGGGCGCATCGCGAGGTCCCTGCAAGTGTAACAGAGAAAGTGAATGAATATTAGCATATAACAGATAAACTAGAATGCATAACTTAACAGATGAGAGAACGGTTATCTATGACATAACAGTTAAAGCTTAGTGTTCTCTACTCTCTGTTTAAGTGCGCTCGCGCTTCATTACGATCTTTTCTTAACGCTCTCTTTTTGTTTGCTCGTGTGCATGCGTCATTTAATGGCTGCCATTGAGCTGCGCGCGCGCTCTTTTTTTTTGATGAATTGCTTTACTTTTGCTATTCTATTCACCAACACACACACGTGCATATATGCACATATGTGACTGCATATGTATGCAAACGTACGTTTATTGCCACGTTTTACGCGCGTAGAATCTATTTATACAAATACAAATTCATGTACTAAAATAATTGCTTATCTTTTCCTCTCTCTCTCCATCTTACTCTCCAATTCGTCTCGTTAACAGCCTTTTTGGCTGAATGCACTTAGGCAACGCCTCAACACGCAGCGCAGCGCGTCACGCGTCAATGCTGCAGTGCATTATTAGCTTGCTTGATTTTTAATTGATCTCGGGAATACCCTTAACATTCGGGCATAACAGTGTTTGCATATGCTTCGCCAGAAAAAATATTAAAAATAATTTATAAATGTGACTCAGCGTTTGATTTATTTCTACCTTTTTATTTTGTTATCGAAAACATTATGATAACTTAAATCACGCCCCGTTAATTGCAATCAATAAATTAGCAATTGACAATTGATAGCTTAACATCAGCAAAAATTTTGCAATGAACTAAAATATAAATTTAAAAAAATTGTGTATTTGACTAATTTAAAACCAAATAGTAGAGCATAGATGATTCATATACTGATTGGAAAGGATTAATTGCTTTGATTTAAATCTATGAGCTAACTATTACTTTAATCTAATGGAATCATTTTCAGCATTATTAACTGTTCAGTAGGATGTTTACTTTTCGTTGTGCACCCATCAAACTTTCCCTCCGATTATGATTATGCATTAAGTATTTTGAATTTTTTATTATTTTTTTTTTTCGCTAAACTCATTTGCTTACAACAGGCCATGTAACAAAGAGGTTGAAATGATTTTCTTGGCACTTCACTAATCTCATGGGCCGTATAATTATGCGCCCCCTCGTAAGACTATCCCCATCGCAAGCACACGTCATGCAAGGCTAGGCGCAATGGCAACTCTGTTCAGTACCGTTGGAAGATTAAGACGCACACATACATAAACAAATAAACACACACACACATACACATAGGCAGACGCCGCCCACACACATGTGTGAAAGTTGTTGCTGCGGCTGTGGGAGGCAGCTTTTGATTGTTTTCGTATACCCTGTAATTATTGTACTGCCTGGGCGAGAGTATATTGTATAAATATAAACATAAACTACGGATCAGCTGAAAACAGTTCATCATCCACAATATTTCTCGTTACGACGCGAAAACTAATGCAACAAGAACATCACTATACAAATATACAGAAGATCGGTTTTTTGGTGACATCAATTAGATTAGATTAGATTGGATTAGCGGTGTGTACACAGTATCTTATATTCGTGTTTGTACTTGATTTTGACTGATTATTTATTGCTTAGTTAGGAGATCAACTCGTCTGACTTACCCGCACATAATTGGCATTAATGTATTCCGTTTTGTCATCATCACCCTGGCGCTGAAGCACAACCCGAGTCTCAGGAAGCGGAATTACGTTAGCGTAGCTGCGGTTCCAAGTTTGAGGTTACGACGTTTCAGTATGAGTGTGTAAGTCAACGATCCATTCCGACATATTGTTCATTCATTTATTTAAAAAAAAGTATGTGTTAAACAGTTGTATAATTTATATTATAAATTTAAGCCTTCACGTGAGAGCAATAATTATTTCTATAGATAGCTCTTCCAAAAAGCAACTTGAACTTGCAAACTTGAATTTTTTTGTTAATGTAAGCGACTTTGATAAGATAAGAAATGAGATAATTTTTGGTGTATTTTGTGAAATATATATAAGAAGAGCTGCCTTTTATGCACTTCCATCTATTAGCTCTAACAACAATAAAATCAGCTAAAAAAGATTTAAATTCATTTACCTTAGTTTCATTTTTATTTCTTTACTTTCCTTAATGATTATTCCCTATCATTCCTATAATTTCATTGATGCCTTATTCTCCTAATCTGCTCATTTCTATAATTGTATTTCATTATTTCATTTCCATATTTGACTTTCCCTGTTATCTTCCTATTTCCTTTCATAACGTAGCTTCTTTGACTTCTAGTTCATTTCTAATATTAAAAAGGTTTAGTCTATGGTCTACAATTTCCTTCATTCCCTTTTCACAGTCTCTTCACCTCTTCATTATTATTATGACATACCGATTTTTATCCTCACATCCAGCTGGCACTTCATCGGCCCTCGCAATAATCTGCGGTACATCTCGGAACTCCTCAAAGATGCTCGAACGCCTCTCCAGGAACTTCCCCAGCTCCGTCGCGCTCAGCAAATTGTGACGCAGCGAAGGATCATCGAAGGCGGCATTGCCATAAGTTCGCTTCGAAGCGCGCAAATCGCGTCCTTTGCGCCGCACGCTGCCCAACACAGATACATTATCCAGGGAGTAGGCGTCGAGGCTCACAGGGCGACAGCGTTGGCTGTAGGACATCTGCTTTTGGCGCTTACGCATCAAATAGAGGAATGCAACAAGAAGGATGAGGGCTACAACGCCAATCACGCTAACAGTGATGGCAATTATGACGTTAACATCCGTGCCGGTGTTACCGTGCGGCTGTTGCATATTGTGATTCACATCGGTGGGCGATTGTGACGGCAATAACATAGGGGTGCTGGTGGTTAATTCATCAGGCAGCATACTGTTATTGTGGCTGTTAATTTTAACGGGTTTGTCGCTGCTCGAGCTGTAAATGGGCTCTGTTGTTGTTTCTGCCTTAGCTGTTGTTGGGCTGGGGTTGGTTGTTGTTGTAGTTGTGGTAGTTGTTGTTGTTGTGCTGTCGTCCAGCAAACTTATATAAGGCTCCTCTGTGGTAGTTGATGTCATTGGCGGCTTATGTGTAGCTGTCGCCTGTGTGCTTGGCGCTGCTTCTGTTTCTGCTTCTGTTGTTGTTGCGTTCGCCATTTTCGTTTTACTTAGCAACTGTTGCTCGGTGACGCTTTCATGTTCAATTTGTTGCCGGTTATCCTCATTGTCATCAACGTCAACATTGTAGAGCCCTACGGTTGCGGCAACTGCAGGTGCTATAGTTGTTGCCAGCGCATTAACAGCAACCGGCTCTGTTGTTCCTGCTGAGCTAACAGTAGTGTTAATTGTAGGAGGTGTTGCTGTTGTTGATGTTGTTGTTGCAACAGTTTCGCCGATGTTATTAGTTTCCAGCAAGTTTTCCTGTACGTTCAGTTTACTATTTGAATTTGGATCTGTTAAAAGCGGCGGCGTTGTTGTTGTTGTAGTGGCACTGCTGTTATTATTGATTTGCAGTGCTGGAATATTGTCAGCACTGTTATTGATTGGCTGCACTGCACTGTTATTGTGTTTACCGTCACTGTTGTTTTCAATTAATAAATTATTATTGTCTTTTGTCACATTTTTAACTGTAATTGTTTCTAAATTGACTTCATTGCTAATTTGGACAATTTCCGTTGGCGTTGGCGTTGCCAAAGTTGTTGTTGTTATTGCTAATTGTTCCTCAAGTAAAATTCGCGGCGTCGGCGTCGGCGCTGACGTTGGCGTTAACGTTTGCGTCGTCGTCGTTGTGCTCACTTCGCCAGCTGTTCGCATACTAACTGTTATTGGCTGTCGCTCGGTCGTTGAGACTGCTGAGACGGCGACGGAGACGTTGATGACGTCGTCGTCGCTGCTGCTCTCGCTGTCGACATTGTTGCTTTTATCGCCGTTTTCATTATTTGTATGTGCCGTCGCTTTCATTGCCAATTCGCTCGCATTGCGGGTGTCGTTCAACGCACTTGGCAAAGCAGTTGTTGTCGTTGTGGTTGTTGTTGTTGTTGTTGCTGCTGTTGTAGTTGTTGCTGGCAGCTCGGGCACAGCTGTTGGCGGAGCAGCAGGTGTCGTTATTGCAGCTGTCTCTGGCTCTGCCGACGTTGTTGTTATTGTTGTTGCCGCCACTGTTATTGCAGGCTCTGTTGTTGCACTAACAGCATCGAGCTTTGTCTGCTCTGTTGACGCCGACTGCACAGCTGTAGTCGCTGCTTGTGTTGTGGCCTCCTCTGTTGTTGCTGCCGTTGTTAACGTTGGCTGCACTGTGGCGTTCAATGGTAACTCTTCTTCCTCTGCTGCTGCGGGTGCAGATGCATTTAATTTTAAGGTAAGCTTTGCCAGTTGTGTTAACGCTGGCTGAGCAGTTGTATTCGCAGATATTATTGCATCTACTTCGACTGGTTTTGAGCTAAGCTTTGCCAGTTCTGTTGGCTGCGCAGTTGCTGTCTCCTCGGTCATAATAATATCTGATTTGAGTTTTGTTGCAGCTGTTAACTCTGGCTGCGCAGTAACAGTCGCTGTTACTAAAGCTAGATCAGGCTTTGCAGAGAATGGTGCTGTTAAGTGATATGTTATTGTGGCTGGCTCATCCGCCGACGCTGTTGTATTGGCTTTAACAGGGGCAGCTGTTACAGAGCTATTAGCTGCTGTCTCCATCTCTTTCTCGCCCAAAACAGCATTCGATTTTAATGTTGTTGCCTGTGTTGCCGCCTCCGTCGCATCGAGAGTTGTGCTCATCGTTAGCTCTGTGCGATTCTCCTGGCTCGTCTGCATTAACATTATCTGTTGCCAGTCTAGCAGATTTTTCTCCTTATGCTGCTCTGTTTGGTTCTGTTGTTGTAGCTCTACTTCATTGCCCAGCTCTGTGGGCGCTATTGTGGTTGTAGTAGTAGTAATTGTAGTTGTTGGTGTTGTTGTTGGCACCACTTTCATGGCAGCCAAGCTCCACACCTCCGCAGCATTCGGCAAAGTCAGCTGTTGCGCATTTGTCGAATTGTCACTGATGAACTTAGCACGTTTCTCGGGTTGCTTTTGCTGCTCTTCTTCGATAACATTTTCATGCGAAGCACTGGGCATAACAGTGACCCCAGCGTGCAGCAGCGCTGCCAACAACTCTGGCGTTGTTGTGGTTGTTGTCATGGGCAGCGCCCGCAGCTTCATAGGTGTGACAGCTAAGAGGGCAACGAGGCTTTCAGTGCTGCTTGTAAATTGCATCGCACGCCCATGATCATCACCACGCTGAGTCGTTGCTGCTGTTGTTGTTGACGTAGTTGTTGTCAAGTCTTTTAATTGTTGACCTTCAGGCTTAAGCTGCTCCTGCATTTCTGTTATCGGCGTTTCTGTTGTTTTATTATTCTGTTGCTTTTCTACACTCTCTGTTGCTATATGCAGTGAGCTCTGCTGCTTGCCACTGTTAACTGGTTGCTTAACATTTTCAGCATTTTGTTGCTCTGCTAATGTAAATATAGCACTGCTGTTATTCCCGTTAGTTATAGATTGCTGCTGAGTTAGCTGAACAGTCTCTATATTAACAGGTAGCCCCTCTGTAGAGCTGCTGTTTGCAGTCACCAGCCTTATGTCTGCCTTTTGTTTATTTGTTAGCGGAGCTTGCTGCTTGGGCGCTTCTGTTGTTGTAGTCGTCGTTGTGGTTGCTGTTGTGGTTGTTGCTGTACTCAGCTGCAATTGCGCTGTTAACATAGGTTCGATCAAAGTTTTGTTCAAAATTGATGTTGCTGTTGTTGTTATTTCCGATCCGTTCGCACTTTCACTGTTCCGCTTAACAATGTCAGGGTCAGCTGAATAGGCATCCACGCCCATATTCCTCGCCTGGGCGGTTTCTCTTTTTGCAATAAAACGTGCCTGCGCGGGCGTCGCCGTCGCCGTCGCAGCCCAAAGCGTTAGCTGCACCAGCAATAGCAGCAGCAGCGAACAGTCGCCCCTGGCCCAGTGGCGTGACAAAGAGCCACTGTCTAGACGCATATTGCCGACTCGCTTGCACTCACAATTGAAATTGGCTCTTGACAATTGTTGCTGCAATTTGGTGGTTGTTCTCCTGCAGTCGCTGCTTCCTCTTCTTCAGCTGCTTTGCTTAAAGCTTTACGAACGGTTGTTGATATTGTTGCTGTTGTTTTTTTATTTTTGCCTATTTATGTGCCCATTTTACGCCCTTTGTTGTTGTTGTCGGAATAGATTTATTTTTTGCTTATTTTGTTTTCGTTTCACGTTTGTTCACGTTTCCATTTTGCAATTATTTCAATGAGCGCGACCTGTAAAAAGGCGTAAATAATAAACATAAATTAACAATAGAATTAACAATAATTTCTTCAATTTCAGCTGACTTTAGTCTAAGTATTTCTCTCCCTTTAAGGTCACGAACGTTCAACTATTCCAAAGAAAGTGAACAACAACAATAAACTAAGCCTCAATAACTTTCCTTTCCTTTGGATTTAGTTAAACACTTTCCTGATAAACACGTAAAATGTCATTAACGGGGCCTAAAGTGCCTGAAATAGTTTTAATTAGATGCAAGTTCTATAAGCGTCACGCTAGCTCAAGGTTAATAGGTTCTAGGCAAAACCAAATATACCGAGCGAAAGAAAAACAAAAGAAAATGTTAAACTTTCTTAATTATTCTCTTTCATTTTATATAATACATTATTTATAAATTATACTATTATTATACATTTTCAATTATATTATCATTATAAATAAATATAACCTTTTAGAGCCTGCGAAACCCTCTTCCAATTATGTAAAATGTTAACGTATACTTAATTATGTCAATCACTCTCAGTCACAGTTGTAGCTTAGCTAATCGTAACATTTCCTTGCAGCTAATAAACCATCATCATTAGAATAACAAAGTCTCACTTAGAAAACAATTTGGTTAATGCGAAAAACTACTTTGCCATCAATGAGTAAAGCAATAACTTAACATTCATAGAGATAAGACGATCTTAGCTATAGCAAGCAAAGCAAAGCCTCAAAGGTTCAGTGCACTGCAATTCGACTATTGATGAAATGGACTCAAATCAAATCAACTAAAATGGATCAAATATTGTTGGGGTTCATTCAACTGCGACTCACACGCAATATTCATTTCAATGCAAAGGCTTCCCCCAATAAAGTTCATCGTCTCTCTTATGAAGCAATAATAACTATTCCAAGCGTTTGTATATAGGGCCAGTCAGTTGAATAGCTATATGTATATATAGATATATATATATTTGTATGTTTATGTTGGCTATATTGGGGGCTGGTTCAGTCCCCATTCACCATGGTAATTCGTGGCTTTGTTATCTACCGATTCGCCCGATGTCATGTCAATAACGCATGCAACGGCTCCCGGACACCCTTGTCACGAGGTGGCTCTACCCAAAGGGCCTAAACGGCTTGGCAATTAACGTTAAAAGCAACTGCTGCACCGTGGAGCGAAGACTTAAATAATAACAATAAAACAAAGCAAAACATATGCACATAAAATATTAATTAAATATTTTTAATATTATTTTGTTTTTACTTATTTAACTATTATTGTTTATAGTTTATATAAGTTTAAAATATGTTTCATCTGTAAGAACAGTGATGCAGACGCGTCTTTATAAATAAATAAAATTTAATATATAGAAATATTTCAGAAATTTTATTTGATTTATTCTATTAAAATATTATTACATTTTTTGTTACACTTTGAATATTGTTTTAAACATTTTTATCATTTGTGAACCAATGTGCTTTGGTTTATTTCAAGTTTGAGGTGTGTTTCGAGAGCTCAGGTGTGGTGTCAAGGGAGTTGCGCCTGAGCATGCAAATATGCATTACATATATGTTTACAGTATACAGTTTTCAGCAGTTGTGAATGTTTTACAATAAATATAAACAAATTCCACGGCTCAGAAGCTAATAAATAAATGTGTAAAAAATGCTAAGGCTATAAACTCTGATTGCTGACTAAGCCTGCAAAACGAACTCTTTGTGATAAGATAAAAAAAAAACTAAACAGAATTTTGTAATATTTGTTCTTCTTCTGAATGTCAACTGTTGCTGCTGATAAGAAGAAACGGCAAAACGGTAAATATGTTATCATTGGAGGCCGTGAGTGTGTCTGTCCACAAGCTGGACAAGGCAAAGTATGACTTTAAATATGCTTCCATATCAATGGGCAAACTAATCTTTATGAAGTCAAACGCACTTACCAAAAATATGTTGAGCATCCGAACAAATAACATAAATCAATAAAAATTGTCAATTGAAATATTAAAACTACAAAGCGAGATAAAGTAACGCAAATAAGCTTATTGCAGGGCCTCAGCCGAAAGATCACGCAAATGACATATGAATGTAATTGAGTGATTCGCCAAATTTTATTGATTTATTGTTGCGTTGGGCTCCTCAAGTATTTATCTAAAATAATATAACCTTAACTAAAGATAGTTGAAGTAATAGTGGTAGTAGTATTTAGTATGTAGCAAATCTGTTGGCTTGCGATGCTATGTTAACCGATGATTGAGTTAGCCGATGATTCAGTACTATTCAAAATCGAAGCATACTTTCAGGCATATCAAAAATCAAACATGCCAAGCTAATGGAAAGAAAATTTAAGCGGAAGCTGTTTAAATTATTCTCCTTCTTATCAAAAGTCACCTCAAATGTGCACTGAAAAAATTATAGACTAAAGTTTATAATAAATTAATTTTTTGTTAATATATTTAATACAAATTTTTAATTAATAAGCGAAATATAAAATCTTTTAAGAATTAATAAAAATTATGAGAGTTCCTTTGAATCTCAAAAATACTTTTTGTAATAAATGAAAAGGAAAAAAAAGATATTAGAGTAGAGTAGAGTTCTAAAGATATTAACTTAATCAAGAAAAAATATTAAAATTAGTTGTAATTGAATATAAATTTAAAACAAAATCTTATTTTATATCAAACTAAAATAACCAGAAAAAAAAATTGAATAATATATTATAATATATTACATTTATAATTCTAATTTAATGCATAAACTATTCAAATACGAAAAGAATATATTTAATGTAAATAAAGATAAGACTTCAATTACCATTATATAAGTATTTATATTACATGATCGTCTACTTATCATATATTATAGATCATCAAAATGCTGACCTAGCAAAATCTTACAGCATTATCGAACCATTACGTAGTTGAAATTATGAGACATAGCTGAACTATAGCCATGGGCAAGACCATAGTGTAAAGTAAGAAGCAAAAATAGATGGCAAAAGAAATGAGCAAAGCTTGGGTTGCAATTTGAACCCTACACTTAACCCAAATCAAAACAAGTTATAAACGTGCCTCTAGCAAAACATTACAGCAAGTGCAGACCAAAAGAAATGTTAGTGGAAACCCCTGAAGCAATCCGCAGACTTCAGACTAGAAGAGCTATCATTTCCGCTTCAGCAGCAACGCACTGAAGATGAACGAATGGTTTAGAATCTAGAAATAAAGATACTTTGCCAACAACCATATGAGAGATCTGCTTGTGATCGTGTTGCATGTGATAAAACCAGTTTTTGCTACAGCTGAGGGAGACTCACAAATGATCTTTAGTTTGAAATCGATTTGCAATTAAGATAATTTCACTTCGAGTGAAACAGAAAACGTTGGAGCACTTATTACTAAAAGATACTACGACGATCCTCTATAATGATCTTGTCAGAGACCAGAAGCTTAATCAGACAGTCTATTATATGTTTGGACTGTTTCTTTATTGATGAGCAGAACGTGAGGAATTTTTACCTGAACATTTCAGCAGGTTGAGCAAAGCGATGATCGTTATGTGGAAAGCTCTCTGAGTAATGCAGGAACTGTGTAGTTCGAGATCACATTGAAGATCATGTTAACAAATTTAATTGAACTCTTAAGAATGTGAGGTTTGCGTGTGAACTGCAAGTCATAGACAATACTAGCAACATTTCTTTACATTGATCGTTGATCGTTATTAGAAAACTCTCACTTAAAACTAAGCTCAGCATATCTGGGAAATGACTAATGATCGCAAGTTGCTCAGCAATAGTTGATCGTTGATCTGCAGAGGCTTAAGAAAAAAAAACAGCGCTTGAGGAACTATTTGATGATCGCTAAGAAAATGTAATGGGCGAAGCATTTTCTTCTATTTACTTCTGAGTTGTTTGTGATCTCTCTCTCTCGCTTCCTCCACTATGTTTCTCTCTTTGATAATCTTTGAAAAAATTTAAATCAACTCTTAGAGAACAACAATTATTTACAATCTTTAGCCTTAATTGAAGCATTTGCCGCTTTCTTTCAGCAGCCAGCTGCGGATTGCGTTACTAATTACCACAATTCACGAACCAAATCTAAAGCTAACCTAAATCTAGTATTATGCACGCACTCTAGAGTTTCAAGAATCTACAAAGAACGCAAACAGTTAGGCTAGTTGATCAAAGATCTCAGAGCAGTCTAATTGCTCCTAAGTATATCATGCAGTTCCACAGGCATTTATTTAACGATAATAAATACGCAATTTTACTTTACTTCATTTTTCTTTCAGATACTTTTGTTAGCTTAAAACTCAGCCAACTGAAGAATGGAGCACATGACGTTTTATAGCGGATGCCAGGCGATAATTGTTGTATAAAGCAGGGATCCCATGTTTGCCTTAGCTATTTTTGTTTTGGATTGTAATTTACAGTACGCTGAGTAAAATTATTATAACTTATTATAACTGTTTTGCTAGACTCTTGTAATTATGTGTATGTCGAAATGTGAAATGAATTGCTTTGCGAAAAAACAGTTGACAGTTGCCCAACTTTGGAGAAGTTGAGTCGAGTTGTGGGTGGCAAAAAAACTATAAAAATAAAAGTTTTTCAACTCAAACGGCTTAACAAACTTAATGGCGGTTTGTAACTTATGGTAAGTACTAACAGTAAAAAGACATTTAAAGTAAACAAATAGATGTATATATATTAGAATCAGTAGCATACCTAAATTATAATACTGTATATGCCAATTATTGATCTACTGGTGAAGGAGATCAACATTGCTCCATCAGCTTTAAGCCCTTCATAAATACAGATGGGCAGACTGGGGCTGTCTCTTCAACGAAAATTTCACAAAGCGCATATACTTTTTTCACTGCGAGAACGAGCATCAACAATAATGAACATTCGATCATGCTTAGAGATTGGCTTTGCGTGTGACGGTTAAATAATTATATAATATTAGAGAAATGTTAAAAA